CAGGAAACCACCAGACCCAGCACAAGACGACTATTTTATTATGGACAGATCAGAACAAGTCATTATCCTCCGCCTCAGAACAGGGCACAACCGATTACGTAACCACATGTACACAAAATTCAAGATAGGCGTATCAGCCATGTGCACCTGTGGAAAGGTGCCCCAGACAGCAGAGCACGTATTACAGGACTGCACCGAATTTAACACATTAAGGCAAACCTTTTGGCCAGAAAGAACAACAGTGGAAAGTAAACTCTATGGACCACTGAATAAATTAACAACAGTTAAATTTAAACAAGAGACAAAATTGCTGATATAGACAACTTATTTCAGGAAACGAAAGAAGAAGAAGAATGTATCCCTGTTAACCATTTTTGAAATCTGATCAGCTGGCATTGTTTCATAAATATAACAATGAGTATAACATAAATCTCTGCTCTATATATGATTAATTTGTTATATTATAAGGATGTTGTTTGTTTGTTTTAGTATCCAGAAGCCTTGAGTTGTTAACCCTTAGGCTCGGTATTATGGATATCGCAACCTTTCGGCCTTGATTCCATTGTAAATACCGTAAATCTGGGAGAAAATGTGGCTTTCCTGCCTACCCCCGGGATTGAACCCGGACCACAAGGAGTACGTCACCCGGTCTCCGCGAAATCCGGTTTAGCCAATTCCGCTAGAGAGCCGGGCATATTATAAGGATAACAAATATTATCTGCTTCAGATATGATTAACTGACTTGTTGGAGAAAGATCAAAATATAATAATAATTACATTTCCTGGTTTTAAATCTGATTCATGCAAAACATAGAAATATAAATGTGAAACATTTTCACAAGTCCTTGCCTGCATAGGACTGCAGGTTACACCTGGCAAGGGTTGCTGCTAGAGATGCCCTAGTTTTTACTTCTTTGGAGGATGAACGGGGTATCTGGGATCTGCCTTGTTGGTCTTCCATCCAGATTGAGATTTTTAAATCTCAGTATCTTAAAGCTGTAGTAAGTAAAAAGTAAAAGTAAAGGACCCTTTTCCACGCCTTTAGGCATATAGGGCTAGACCTATATTTTTATAGACCAATCGGCACAAGATGGGTGATGTGGTCAGCATCACGCCAGTCGCCTTTACTTCCCGGGACTGCACCCGGTACCCACTCAAGGCTGGGTCAATCTGAGAGCCAAGGTCATTTTTGAAAAAAGTTCGGCTCCGCCAGGGAGCGAACCCACCACCCTCTGATCCGTGGCGAGCGTCTAGCCGCTCGGCCACGGCAACTTCCGTAAAGCTGTAGGCAGCGTCCTTAAGGTGACAACCGATTGATCAATTTTTTTTTAAATGCAATTTATTATATTGAAATATAACTGTAGGTTACACTGAAAATACACTAGAAACGAATGAAGGAAAGGACAGAAATGACTGAAACACACATAAAGAAATTACCACTCAGGTATTATACTGTGCCTAAGTTACAAGGGAAGCCACAGACTAACTTTGCAAAGGGACAAAACATTAGAATAGCTGCACTTTCAGCAAGCTCTCATACAGCATGTCCAGTACATGGTCCTGAGTATGTTGTTTATCATAGCAGGAGATTACTCATCCAGTTTGATTTAATTACTTAAGTATCTGTGTGACTGGTGAGGCCAGAAAGTTCTTAGGCAGATGCGACAGAAAAAGCGTTAGCCACATTGAGCTTTCTAGATTATTGATTTGCGCCACTGTGATCTCTGCTGCCTCAAAAGGTTGCTAAACCAAGATAAAATCTGTCGTCTAGATCATTCAGCAGGCTGTCGTGTCTGTAATCAAAGGACTTGAGAGCGGTTTCAGATGTGTCGTTTTAGCATTCTTTTCACTCTGTCTGTGGATGTTTTTCTTTTTGGCATTCATCAGCTGAAAACTGGCAGAAAGTTCTGGTTGTTTCTCCACAAATCTGGCTTATCTGTATGCAGACTTCCAGTCTTGTGCCTCACTGTAAACTATATTTGGAAGCTGGTGGTCTGGCATATGAACTAGGCAGGCTATCATCTCAACAAATCTGTTTCTTCATTACAGTATGAATAAATTAGCAGGCAAAGTTCTAGGAATTAAAGGCAGCTGGCTTGATGTTGACCACATCACTCACTGAGTACCGGTTGGTCTGTACGATATATAGGTCTAGCCCTATGTGCCAAATACACCTGAAGGGGTGAAAAAGGGTCCCATATGCCCCCACTCCCCTTTTTTTTTTCTTTTAGAACTACAGTATATCAACACGTCCTGCCGTTTAATTTCTTTTTTGGGGGGTCTTCTAAGGCATTTTATGGGAAAGTAATTCAGCTTCACGGTGTTGACCTGCAGGCCTAAAAGCCTTTAGGTTCAGATCAGCACCATGGCAGATTTTTATAATTGACCCTGATTTCAGAGTCAACCCAGAAAAATGGGTACTAGGGGGTAAAGGTATGATTGGTCCATGAAAATATGCATCTTGCACAGAATGCCTGATGTCTAGAGGGTCCTTTTATTTTTTAAACAATGTAACCAATAAATTTCATTCACTGTTGCTGTTAACATTTTTGTTATTCTGTTGTCTTATCTGGCCACGTTTGTTGAGAGTTATGAGTTGTAAGTACAGAACCAGTAGAACAAATAGATTCATACGCTGCAGAATGTCATTGGGAATGCTAACATATTTAACCTTAACAAATAATTACAGCTAAGAAAATAAACATAAAACATCACTAAAGTGAAGCAAAGAATATAAACCCTGAAATGTACCATGCCTGTCATGAGAGGTAATCAAAGAAGGTTGGCATGAGACCAGATAACTCTTCTTACAGAAAATTACCGCTGCAAAATCTGACTAATATGAACATACTTTATCAATGACATACAGCTAGAAGGATTAATGATTAAAAAAAATGTACGAAAAGAATAACTGTAACCTTCCTTGCATGCTGTAGGAGGCTACGAAAGGTTGGCATGAGACAGGATATATGTATATATACACATATATGTGTGTGTATTCAGGACCCTTTTCCACACCCTTCAGCTATATAGGGCTAGAACTATATTTTATAGACTAGGTGGGTAATGTGGTCAACAACATGCTAGCTGCCTTTACTTCTGAGATTACCTGGTGCCATTTAAGGCTGGATACACACACACATACTTTTTTCATAATGCTCAAAAACATCAGTAGCAATAAGTGACAACACCATAGCAAATTGTCTCAGTTTATTTATCTGTGCATGATCCATAGTACAGTATCTGACATAAGCACAATCCTCATAAATATTCACAATCCTTGACATTTTCCATCTCTTTGTTGTCGGTTTCAATACATGCTTAAGCCAGCGATGGGGACAACACTGGAGAATTACTAAATTAATTGCTTTTCACTGATGACCAGGCAATCATAGCACAAACAGCAGGAAAACTACAAGAACATAGGCAATCATAGCACAAACAGCAGGAAAACTACAAGGACATAGGCAATCATAGCACAAACAGCAGGAAAACTACAAGAACATAGGCAATCATAGCACAAACAGCAGGAAAACTACAAGGACATAGGCAATCATAGCACAAACAGCAGGAAAACTACAAGGACATAGGCAATCATAGCACAAACAGCAGGAAAACTACAAGAACATAGGCAATCATAGCACAAACAACAGGAAAACTACAAGGACATATGAATAGACTCCACTCAGCATGCGACAACTATGATATTATAAAGATCAGCTTAGACAAAATAGAAGTGATGACATTCTCCATAAAAAGGAGAACCACAAGTGTAGAAGTTCATGATGATGAATTGAAGCAGGCAAAGGACTTTACGGATCTGGGGAGCATATTTTTAAAAGATGGAAGATTTAATCAAGAAATCCAACAAAGATGCAATCAAGTCATAGTCCAAATGGCACCAATTGTGTAATGCAAGCATTTAAATCATCACCATATAGCAGGTCCTTTGCAGAATGTCACTCATCACAGTCCGCTTGAAAGAAACTCTGTCTCTTGCCTCTTGTACTTTCATAATCCAGCAGTCAGTTATATCCTGTGCCCATCTTTGTGTTGGCTGGGCCTTTTCAATTCCGCCATGGCGCTTGATATGACCAAAATATTTCAGCTTCTGCAGCAACAAGATGCTGTTTATTAGCCAATCTTCCTTGATGTTTAGATCTTTTAATATGTCAGTATTTCTTCTTTTCTTTCCATGGTATTTTGATAATCTTTTTATAGCATTTCAGCTAAAAAGCTCCTATATTCTTTCTTAAGGACTATGAGATAGTCCACGACTCACATCATGTGTATGTTGCTACAGGGAAATAATTGTAAGTACATGAATAGGAAGATTAAAAAAGCACTGTTCAACAGAGTATTCTTATCATTGCTATGCTATTAATATCAAACATGGACACTGTCTTCAGAAGACAGAAGGAAAATGTTATGACATAAATGAAATGTTTATGGTCAACAACGTAGAAGATGGCCTGCAGAAATATCAGAGTCCCTGAAAAATACTATACACAATGCAAAAAGAAGAGCCCGTGAGGTGTTGATTGTATGACCCATAAAGTGCTGACCGAAATATAGGTCTGGCACAGCACCATATGCTTGACTGGCCAATGGCATCAAAAACGTTCCTTACTGTATCCCTCTTCTCCAAGTGTTTCCTTCAGGATTTGTTGCTGTGTCCTGGTACTGACAGAGTTAAAACAGACTGCTGCTTGTTTCTTCATATTTACTCTCAGTAGAGTATCTTACAGCAGAATAATCTATACTTGTTCATACTCATTTTTTCTTGCGGTACACAACGGTAGGCAGAACCTGCACCTTTAAAAAAAAAAGGTATTCTTTTTTATTAGCACTATTGTAATTGACACTTTGTGGTGATTACCGACACCTTTTATCAGACACTTTCCCCATACAAAACAAAAGCTCTGTTCTTACTGAATATTAATTGGATATATAGCAGGTCTCTCAACAAACTGCGCTCTGCTAGCTTGACTAGAGACTTTCTATGCTTCTTCTAACTCTACTAGAACACCGTCACAATCTTTAGGGTGTAAAAATATAACTGGTTTCCCATGAGCACCTGTTCTCGGTCCTTCGCTGAGAAGGCGAATGTTCTTTGCTTTCAGATCTTTTATTGCCTCATGAATGTTATCAACCTGTGAAATGATCAGAAAATGATTAAGACTTCAAAACAACTACCTTCAAAATAAAAGTTAGATGTACAAAATTAATGATGCACATTTATATCTCTGAAAGATCAAGCATATTATTAAAAAAAAAAAACATAAACAAAACTTTCTATAGGAGAATGTATAATGATATCTGCAGCAAAGTGTTTAGACTATCGGGCATGTTGCCTATGGGTTTGGGAGCCCCTTCATGGCAGGAAAAAGGAACAGGCCCACTGCCCTCTAACAAGTATGTCATAAGAGTCAACTAATTAGGGATGTTTCCTTCAAACGAGTGCATTTGCCTGAATATCGAGGAGCCAACAGTGCATACTATAAGCCAGATCTGTAAATATGGATGTGCAGGCAAAAAAAAGGCAAGTTTTTGAATAAGACTAAAGTCCAGAAGTGGACGAACAACCAGAACTTTCCACTGGAGTTACTGAATGTGGAGAAGAAGATTTGTTGTATGTCCTGAAGTTCATGGCTTGATTTCCAGACTATGTCATTTTATTCAGTTTTGAATGACTATGCCATTCATTATGCAGTATAATAAAAGTTGAAGGCGTTATTTTGGGTCAAGTACAGAAGAAGAAGTGGCTAAGCGATAACACCTGGACGAAGATACAAGAAAGAAAAGCAAAACTAATGCTCCTTAAAAAGAATTCCGCAAAAGACTCATCCTCGTACAAGTCCCACAAACACAAATACACCATATTGGATAAAGAGGTAAAGTCAAGCGCATAAAAAGATAACTATGCGTTATGACATAGATGTCATAAAAGGTAACTAATTAGGGATGTTTTCTTCAAAGTCAAGAGTGCATATCTGCCTGAAAGCTGAGCAACCAGCAGCCACATTTCAAAAACAGATGTGCATACAAAATTCAAATCCTGGAGCAAAGGTCCAGAAGTGGATGAACAACCAGAACTGTCCACCAGAGTTTACAGGCAGTGAAGTAAAAAAAAGAAGATTGCATGCTCTTATTGACATGTTTTTTTAAAAACCGCATACAATCAAACCTGAGTAGTGTCAAGTTAGGTTTCAAATTAAAGATGTCACAGTGTCAAATATAGTTATTATTATGTTGAAAGTACTTACCTCTATACAGATATGGTGCATGCCACCTGATTTATTTCTCTCCAAGAAAGATTGTATTGGACTCTTTTCTCCCAATGGATGCAACAGCTGCAGTAATTAAAAAGAATAATTTTACCAACAATTCATCGCAGGCAATCACCAAATAAACTGCTGTCTGTTATTACTGTTTGTAAATAACCACTTTTGTAGTGCAGGCAGGGTCTTTGAGCCTGAGGATTTAGGGCCACATGGCTAGTGCAGTCGCCACAAACTGTGCAGGTGAGGATTTTTATTATTGTCCCCAACAGAGAAATGCATAACCTACTAGGTTTTCAAACATGGATATCCTGCATGAGAGTACTGAACTCTTAACAATTCAGCCAGGCATTCCTCGCTAAATAGATTACAGCATAAAGTACAAGTATCACCAGTTGAAAAAGCATACAGCATGAGAATGGAAACATCAAGAGGCAGAGGAAGCCCAAGAAGTATATGAACAGATGGAGTTAACAACTTGCTGAAACTCAACAATACCACCACACAGCAAGTTAACAAGTGTGCACTTTCCTGGAAACCGATCACTAGCCGTGTCTGTGACACATAACAGCATTAAGCAAAGAAAGACAAGACAGACAGACAGACAGCTAGATACATAAAATACAAAGGGCATTCAGAAAGTATTACTTCACATTTTTTTTCTTCAGTGAATAATAAAGTTAGAAACATGAAATTGTGGATACTTCAAATTTGAATTGCCCATTCTGTATACAGGAAATGATTCAGCATTTGTACAAATAGATCAGTTGCTCTAATCCTTCAAAATGACATGCAAGCACAATTTGGATTACAAGCAGCTGCTTATTATAGTATTTATGGCTGCAGAAAGTGAAACTATTGAACATTCATAAATGTTTGTGAGCTGTCCATGGGAGTTGCCCTGTCTTTATGAGCACCATATGTAGCTGGGTTCAGAGAGTTGAAACTCCAGGAAGTGGAAAGCAGGACCGGAGGGTGAAATCATGCTGCGAACAAATGACTACATGAACAGAACAAATCATGATACAGGCAGGGCATGCATGCCTTCATGCCACATTGGTCTACGATCATATAAGTGCATACAGAATATTACAAAAATCAGGATATGCTAAGGACAAAATGATTTATATTTTCAAATAATTTCATACATAGTGCATAAATCACCAATAGTCTGGGTTTTAAAACTAATTCTTATTAAAAAGCATGCTTCTTTAAAGACTTAAAGTCAATTACCTCAATTTTGGTGTCTCCAAGCTCGACAAACACTGTTGTAACCCCATGCTCAGGAAGAGGCTGTCAGAAATAATTTAGATGTCACATCTTTTACACTAGAACTGAAGTGCACTGTTCTATGGTTGCTGTGCAACTATTCTGAAGCCAACTTGGAGAATTATTGTCATGTCATCCAAATTACTTTAAAATCCTTTTGTATTTTTCTTCATGCGCTGTCTATTATCATTTCTTCCAGTTCTGAATGTTTCAGTTTAGTCACTTGGGTAAACAGGTAGGGGAGAGAAATTAAAACTGAAAAGAATTTTGAACTGTGATGTGACTGCAAGATGCAAAGAGTGAGCTGAAAAAAAAAAAAAAACCTGTCAGCGACCTACTTTACTATATTCATTTTCTATGGCGCGCTAGGTAGGCCAGCTAACAGACTTTACTACCCTACGACACACTTAAGACACGCACCTGCTAAGTACAAACATAATCTTTAATGTACAACGAACAATACAACTAGTAACACCTTAACCAAGTTGGCAGTCCTTATCCAAAACGCCGGCGTTGAGCAGCTTTTATATTCACTGGTCAACCAGAGCCGTTCCCATGGATCCCCAAGGACACGATTCCAAACTAACAGTTTATCAGTGCTGACTAAGCCGCCGTCTATTGCCACGCAGGACTCAGTGACACACGTAAGGTGTATGGCCTAAGTGTGACTGGGCAGTGTTACCGCCATCTACAATGCGTGTCACACATTCACTAGCTGCTTAACAAATACTGTATGGAACGTCTACTATACCAGGAACATTAACTCTATGCTATCTTGTCGAAACATTAAATGAAAACACAGCCTATCTAAAAAAAATACTAACCACAAACAGTATTCAACCTAAATGTCACTTGACTAACATACGTTTACCTAGTCAAAGCGCTACCTCTCGTCCAGTCAAGTCCTCACTACCCAACTCTCCTCCAGCGAGCTCTCTCCAAGCTTTTTGTTCCCCTCCCGCGTTCATCTCTCGACACGTGGTAATAAGTGTTAACCGTGGGACCTGGCTTTAGCCAGTTAACTCGACACAGTTTATTCCGTGGTCAAGCTGCCCGGTCTCACACTGAGTTTTACTGAGGGTCAGCTCGTTCATACGTGATGATTCACTATCATCAACTCTGTTCATCCCGTAGCCGAACTGACCTCTTACAGAACCATTATCAAAGAAATAAATGACACCAGAACAGGTGAAAAAAAAAAAAAAAACCCAACATAATATAGAAAAACTGACTTGGCAACAATATGAGACATGAAGGTCTCCTTGTGAAAGTTTTTGAAGACAAAAGAAAAAAACAGATGTCCAAGAAACAACAAGGCATGCACTAATTTTAAAACAGACTTATAGACAAGAGAAAAAGAGATGTCCAAGAAACAACAAGGCATGCACTGATTTTAAAACAAGACTTTTTCTGAACTGAAGAGAGCTGTTGATACCAGGAGACAGTGGAGAGACACAATCAGAAAACTTCAGTGTCACTCATAATCCAACTCAACCTGACAATGATAATGAGGAGTACATTCATTTTCTGTATTTAAATTCATTATAGCTATAATCTTTCCTTTAAGACATTGTTTACATTCTCTTTAAAACCCGTTCCATAACTGTTTAGCCTCACCCTTTGCCAGGAAAAAAAAACCTGGCAAATACAGACATGAGTGACTATGTTTTTTTCCCAGTGTTGTTTTTCCAGTTTTTTCTGCTCTATATTTGTTCAACAAGTTCTGTCATAAATAATACACTTTCAGTGGTTATTTATAATTCACTGGTCATGAATATAAAAAAAAAAAAAAAAACATCATAAAATTATTTCTAAGATTAAAAAAAAAAAACCAGAGGTAACTATTCTACAGTACTTGCTTGTTTGTTACTAACTCGCCCTCCTAGCACATCTCTATAGAGAGCTGCACTCTTGTCAAGGTCTGGAGTCACTAGAGCTATGTGATTGATCTTACCAAGGTTCCATAACTGTGAAGATATGATGATAAAGCAATAGCAGTTATTTTTATCTCTAAAACATCTATTTACAGTTAAAGTTAAAAGTAAAGAGGGTCAGATTAACTGTTATCCACCTACAGAGAGTGCCACACAAAGTACAAATTCTGTAGCTCCAGCAATAATCCCTAGGGATCTCAACAAAAAATGCCCTTGTGAACTAAATCACACATCCACGAAATGAACCTACAACATTTAGAGCATAAGGCACATGGTTTTACCACTTCAACACAGAAATATACTTGTTTAAATATTCGTACATATCTTGAACTGATGAGAAATATTTGTTGTTTGTTAACAATGAAGACTATAAAGCTAGTTCTATTTTGAAGTCTTTTTAATGCATTATATTTCAAATACAGCATGATATTTACATGCCTTTTCATGCATACTTTTATTCCCTTGTACAGGGCTTAGGTTCCTCAAACATCATTCCTTCTCCAAAATATTTTCTTTGTGTTCGTGCCACTGCTGCATTCAGTTTTATTGTCAATTCTCTCCGTGTGGATTCTAGTGCTCCCTGCTGCAAGCAGTTTTATTGTCAATTCTCTCCGTGTGGATTCTAGTGCTCCCTGCTGCAAGCAGTTTTATTGTCAATTCTCTCCGTGTGGATTGAGTGCCCCTTGCTGCATTCAGTTTTATTGTCAATTCTCTCCGTGTGGATTCTAGTGCCCCCTGCTGCAGGCAGTTTTATTGTCAATTCTCTCCGTGTGGATTCTAGTGCCCCCTGCTGCAAGCAGTTTTATTGTCAATTCTCTCCGTGTGGATTCTAGTGCCCCCTGCTGCATTCAGTTTTATTGTCAATTCTCTCCGTGTGGATTCTAGTGCCCCCTGCTGCAAGAAGTTTTATTGTCAATTCTCTCCGTGTGGATTCTAGTGCCCCCTGCTGCAAGCAGTTTTATTGTCAACTCTAAAGGTAAAGGTAAAGTCAGGAGATGTGAACCAAGGTCACTGCACACGGTTATAAGGGCTCTGCCACCAGTATGGACAGCTGATAAGAATTGTCCGCCTGTGTTGCCGTTCGCACGTAACTCTGTAGCTACAGCGAAGTTCCTCCATTTACCCCAGAGTCTCACTCTGGTACCAATTTCCTAGAGGCTGGGTGAACCCCCGGAGCCGTCCGGTTTCGAACACCGACTGTGGGCTGCAGCGAGTCGCAGCTGGATTTGGAAGCGAGCCTCTTATCGACTGCACTAACGTGGACCATGTGGAACTAGGGCCACTGCTCCATAACAAGCATGTTGTAAAAGTTGACTGATCTGGGATGTGCCTTCAAAGTCGGCATCCATGGCTTAGGCGTTGTGAACGCACTTCGTAATGTCGGGGTGCCAGGTTCGATCCCAGCTGCAGATGGTTTGTCTTGCGTTGGTTTCGACAGTGATACCAAGAGCTGAGCATTCTGAAGCAATGGCAAACTACTAAATGTAAAATTTGCATAGAAAGTCACAACAGCCAAAAAATCCTGTAAAGGATATGCAAATAACTTCAAAGTCGTAATACATTTGTTTGAGAGATGAGGAACCGACAGTCTGCATACAAGCAAGCCAGATCTGTTAAATGGATGTGCATGCAAAACTCAAGTTCTCACATGGGGAGAGTTGACAATAAAACTGCTTGCAGGAGGGGCACCAAGACAGGGAACATATTTTGAGGGAGGTAGACGAACAACAAAACTTTATCCCTGAGTTTACAGCCAGTAAAAGCTAAGCAGAAGAAGAAGAAGATATTGTCACTTCATCACTCAGGAGTATAACTGGTGAATGCCAAGCAAAAGAAAAAGAATAAGATATTGTCAGTTCATTACTCGGGAGTTTATAACTGGTGAATGCTAAGCAGAAGAAGAAGAATAAGATATTGTCAGTTCATTACTCAGGAGTTTATAACTTGTGAATGCTAAGCAGAAGAATACAATATTGTCACTTCATCACTCAGGAGTTTATAACTGGTGAATGCTAAGCAGAAGAATAAGATATTGTCACTTTATCACTCAGGAGTTTATAACTGGTGAATGCTAAGCAGAAGAATAAGATATTGTCACTTCATCACTCAGGAGTTTATAACTGGTGAATGCTAAGAAGAAGAATACAATATTGTCACTTCATCACTCAGGAGTTTATAACTGGTGAATGCTAAGAAGAAGAATACAATATTGTCACTTCATCACTCAGGAGTTTATAACTGGTGAATGCTAAGCAGAAGAATAAGATATTGTCACTTTATCACTCAGGAGTTTATAACTGGTGAATGCTAAGAAGAAGAATAAGATATTGTCACTTCATCACTCAGGAGTTTATAACTGGTGAATGCTAAGAAGAAGAATACAATATTGTCACTTCATCACTCAGGAGTTTATAACTGGTGAATGCTAAGAAGAAGAATACAATATTGTCACTTTATCACTCAGGAGTTTATAACTGGTGAATGCTAAGAAGAAGAATAAGATATTGTCACTTTATCACTCAGGAGTTTATAACTGGTGAATGCTAAGCAAAAGAATAAGATATTGTCACTTCATCACTCAGGAGTTTATAACTGGTGAATGCTAAGAAGAAGAATAAGATATTGTCACTTCATCACTCAGGAGTTTATAACTGGTGAATGCTAAGAAGAAGAATACAATATTGTCACTTCATCACTCAGGAGTTTATAACTGGTGAATGCTAAGAAGAAGAATACAATATTGTCACTTCATCACTCAGGAGTTTATAACTGGGGAATGCTAAGCAGAAGAATAAGATATTGTCACTTTATCACTCAGGAGTTTACAGCTGGTGAATGCTAAGCAGAAGAATAAGATATTGTCACTTTATCACTCAGGAGTTTATAACTGGTGAATGCTAAGCAGAAGAATAAGATATTGTCACTTTATCACTCAGGAGTTTATAACTGGTGAATGCTAAGCAGAAGAATAAGATATTGTCACTTTATCACTGAGGAGTTTATAACTGGTGAATGCTAAGCAGAAGAATAAGATATTGTCACTTTATCACTCAGGAGTTTATAACTGGTGAATGCTAAGCAGAAGAATAAGACATTGTCACTTTATCACTCAGGAGTTTATAACTGGTGAATGCTAAGAAGAAGAAGAAGATATTGTCAGTTCATTACTCAGGAGTTTACAGCTGGTGAATGCTACCTGGAAGAAGAAGATGATAATACTGTCAACTGATCACTCCAGCATTCACATCCCTATAAAAGAAAAGGCAACACCACTCTTACCTTCATTGTCCTGTTGTGCAATTATATGTCACTCAGGGCTCACAGTCTATTCCTTCATTCAGTTTCATCCTGTGCAGTCACTTTAATATCATGGATACAACAATCTAGTCCCGCATTCCTCCTGAATTTATCTCATTTTATGTCCATTATCTTCCTCAGTCATATCATTTAAAATGCATTTAACTTTCATTCCATATTTCTACTGGTCCTCCGGCTTTTACTTGAATAAGTTGAAAATAAAATGTTATTAGATTGAAAATATGTAACTTGGTTCTAAAACTATATAATTTTAAGTACAACTTACTTTATTGTGTTTTAAATGTGAAGTGCTACAGTGAAACTGTTGCATCTGCATACAGGCATTCTGTAATGATAACAAATGAATTTAATATTAATTAACATGATCCTTTTTATACCTCACACATTGCAAATGTTTTCTAACAAAGTGTCTAAATCTGTCATAATGGTATGTGATCAATGACAACAAACTTTAATTTTAGAATCAAAATATATGTGCATGCACACATATGGGTATGTGTGCATAGGTACCAGAACCTGGGTGATCAGATTCCTTGTGCCTCCTCCCTAAAAGAAATGGGGAGGGGGGAGGGGTTCCCTAGTAATTCTGTAAGAAGGCTAAGCAGTTCCCTTTAACCATGTACTGGAATTCTCTTTAACAGTATTTGTTTATACTTTCATATTATTGCAGCCTCAAGAGCAAAGTGTGCACAGCAAGCTATGGGGAACCATGAAGGACCTGCTGCTGATATGTGAGTTCATAGAGGCAACCCACCTGATGGTTTGATCTGAGGATACAAAACCGAATGCAAAGACAAAAATATTATTCCAGATATATTATTATATTTATCTATGACTCAGCAGATGATTATTATCAGGGCTTTTACTTTTATAGCAAAACATTCTGGTCAGTAAGTAAAAAAAAAAGTAAAGTAATGGACCCTTTTCCACACCTTTAGGCGTACAGGGCATATAGGGCTAGACTTATATTTTATAGACCAATTTGCACAAGATGGGTGATGTGGTCAGCATCACACCGGCTGCCTTTACTTCCTGGGACTGCACCTGGTACCCACTCAAGGCTGGGTCGACCTGGGAGCCAAGGTCATTTTTGAAAAAATTCAAGCTCCACCAGGATGCGAACCCAGGACCTTAAAAAATTCTAGTACTCACCACAAAGTGTCTAAAACAGGTGTCAGTAACCATCAGTGTCTATTACAGTAGCGCCTAAACAAGTATGCCTAGAAAAAGATACTGGTACTGCGTACAGCTAGAAGAGAAAAAGCCCTGATTATTATCATTATTTTTATTAAGCCGTAAAAACAGGATTCAGCTCCCCCTGTCCATATTTTCTCTGCGTCAGCACATCTGCATTTATCCATCTATGGAGGAATGTGTAAAGGTATAAGGTTTTAAAAATAGGATTCAGCTCCCCCTGTCCATATTTTCTCTGTGTCAGCGCATCTGCATTTATCTATCTATGAAGGTATGTATAAATGTATCAGGATAATGTCATTGTAAATACTGCTATAGGGGCTTGAAGTATTAAGATTTTCACATATATTAAGTAATTAGATTTTCACACATATTAAGAAATAAGTTTTGCACAAATATTAAGTAATAATTTTCGCACATAATAAGTGATAAGATTTTTGCATATATTAAGTAAAAGGATTTTCACATAAATAAGTAATAACATGTTCATATATATTAACTCTTTGAGGCCCAAACAACGGTGTGAGCGTAGTTCGAGAGGGTTCCGTTTTGCCAAAACAACAGTGTCATCGTCAATCGTGTGTCCCTTACATTTTGCTTCGCACGCGGCTTCGTACTAGTTTCTAATGTTTGGAGGTACAATTAAACTATTCAGGGAAAGTCACTCTGCTGAAATCCTTTTAGTTTCATTTCTTGGACTAAACCACACATGGATAATTTGAGAGAAAACACAGCTAATTTTTTTTTTTGCAGTTCATTTTCTAAGTTCGTTTTTGAGTGCCATGAATACCAATGTTCTAATTTCAAGTACAGGTCGCAGAATGCGTCTTTCTGTGGCTAAAGCTCTTAAATTGTTTCAGTCAGATGTTCTTAATTGTGATAATGATAAAAAAATTAAAATTTTTCAGAAAGTGATTCGGACGGTGAATTTTCACCAGTGAAGCTGAGCGATCTGCTGTTCGGAATCTAGCGATTCTGATGAGTTTATTACACAAACAATGTCCCATACTACCGTATTTATGGTGTAAGAGAAGGAAAATGCTCTAAACAAATAGATTGTACTATACTATAGCTAAGCTACACTAAAATCATTGCAGCTACAGTCTGTAAATAACTGCACAAAGTAAATAGTGTGTGTGTAATGGCTTACTTTTCTGCCATTTTTTCTCTGAAATTTTGCCCAGCACTCTGTAAGAACTAAGAGCTCCTGAGTGCTAAACTAACTCAGAAAGTTATTATAACATTGAAATATGTTAGGAAATTGAATAAACTTTGAAGTTTTGTTCTCAAATTTGGATTTTTACTACTACTATTGTGGCTGCAAAACCATGGTGAGTGAAGAATTTATTTGTTAAATGTTGTCCTTGTGAAATTAACACCTGCTGAATTTTTCTTTCCCACTAACTATAACAAAATTAAACAAACACTAATCATCAGATTCAAAATGTACATTCATTTCTCTTAAAAAAATATATACTTTTATAGGATTAGAAGTATATTGCAATCTCTATAGCCTTTCTTGTGCACCCACCCCTCTGCCATTTTTATAAAGGGAAATTAATTTGGGCCAAGTCTGTCAAAATTCATGGGCCTGAAAGAGTTAAGTAATAAGATGTTCACATATATTAGGTAATGAGGGATTAGAATTTATATTTTTCCCACTTTTATCCCAGTTTTTAGATAATTATCTGGTATATGTTTCACGTTTTATGTGTTGAGCTGAGTTGAGTCAAGAATTGATATTACAGAACTCGGGGCATTTCCATGCATGCTCCATCCTCATCTTCAGCAGCCAGTGCAAAGTTCCAATGCTAATGGTACCAGTCACAGTTTGGTTTTAAGTCCATCTTTCCTTTCCTCTGAGTGTAGTGAGCCAGCCAGACCCTCTGGTTACACCCAGGGGCCTCATTCTCTCCAGGCCAGAATAATTTTGTTTCATTCTGACACCATTTCTTGTTTCCAAAGGACCTTGACCACATCTACCTTGTCAGGTATCAATTCACCACAGTGGTGCAGATCGAACAAATCTGTTTGCCTGTTCATTTCCCACTACACCAGCATGGCCTGGAAACAAAGATCTAAAGTATGCTTACTACCCGTGACCTTCCCAGCGAACTTGCCACTCTGCTCGAAGCATCCCTGTCTTCACCTTTCTCATCAGCATGCTTTCAGAAGCCGTTATAATTAAAACGTGTATGCATTTTGTTCTCCAGCCACCAGAAAGCTGCAGTTACTGCCTCTATCTCCATTCTCATCCTAGATGCGGTGGTATTGTATGCTAGGCTGTCCTGCACTCAAGATTGTCCACTGGCTTTTGCTTCAAACCCCCAGACACTTCTTTTATCTCTCAACACTGAACCATCTGTATAGATAATCAGATCATCTAGGCGAAAACTGTTGTGAATAAACTGTTTGACTTCCACCTCCATAGCATCGGCCAGCCACTCTCTGCCTTATGTGATCATAACCCTACACAGGTCAGACATTTTCTTTGGTACTCTGACCCACTCCTCTCCTCACCCAATGTTCTCCAGCATGCATACTTGTCTTATAGTGTCTTCTGCAAGCCATCCACGATTTTTCCCTTACCTGCAGCTAAAGCTTCAATCAGAGGGTGTTCTTTGTCTGCATCTGCTTTAAGGTATTACTTAGCATGCAGCACCTTTAGCCTACCTGCAATGCAAGGATGTATCGCCTGCACACAATCAGGGTGTCTCTTGTTCATCCCACGATCACCAGTTATTTAGACAAAATTTAAGGACACCAAGTTTTTGGGAATGTAAAAGCACACAAAGATCGAGTAAAGATAATGTATACTATTAATACAGAATATATTTTTTTAAAGGGTGGGGGGAGAGGGGTAATTCGGGAGAAAAAGCAGGGGGCAATCACAGTGGTTTTGGTCAAGATAATCTATACATAGAAGCAACAAAAGCAGGGCATCTGTCTTGTGATAGTCTTGTCTTTTGTAAAAAGACTTAAGGGGCAAAGTTCAGTACAGGACTAGCCAATGAATGCTGATTCAATCAGTGATTGCAGCTGATGGTCCAGCTAATTAATGTCTTTATAGTACCAGTGATCAATGAGACAAATGAAGTTGAAAATAAGACGATACGAGTTTTAAAAAATGTATAATATACTAGTAGTACCAGTGTTAAATTCTTAAAAGGCAGGTGTAGAATGTGTCGCAAAATCGCATTCAACTGCCGCATTTTTGCGGCAGCATAAAGTCCCTTCAGCTGTCCAGTCACTGTCTGGCTGCTTTAACCCAAAGACCCTACATTAACTGTTCTGAGGGTGTTTATTTCCACTCTTTCGGCACCAGCAGAGTCCGTCCAACAGTCTATTGTATGTCAACCCTCTCGTCATGTACGTGTTTTATTCAGTGTCAGTCTGGCTCAGTGTTGCCACTTTTCTTTGACAAAAAATATCCAAAACGGTGTCAAAAAGTATCTAAAAAGATCTAAATCTGCGTGGAAAAGATCTAGAAAAAACATCCAAATTGAACAAGTCAAAAATTACATAGCTTTTGTTATGACTTACCCTAAATAATCATGTCCTAACCTTCACTGATGTCTGCCTCACAAGATCCACAGGATAAACTTAGCTTGGATAATGAAGTTGAAGCTTCAGATCCAAAATGATCCTAGTATGCTTTAGCTGTTCAATTTTCTTTATAAGTGGAACAGTAGGCTTATTTCTCTAGTCTCATTAGGCCGAATTTTAATGGCACGATAGCATTTAAGAGGTCAAATTTTATCCTGTTTTTTTAGGTTAGATTTCATATAATATCTAGCACTGAAAACTCTTTCTACGTCAGCATTTGAGTGGGGTAGTATCATGGCAGACATGGCACTTCAAAGAGCTTACAGAATGGACTGTTTGACGAGGCATCTTTAAATTGTCTCACTTCACTCTAAAAGGCTTTAGTTTTCTGTTTTGTTTGTCCATTCAGCTAACTTTATTTTGGTTAACTGATATTCTGCTTCCGCGACACTATTATCAGTAGCCCCTAAAAATTTCCTAACTTTACAATATTTAAGTATGTCCTTTAATGGCTGAAGTATGTTGCTCACAGAAAAAAGTGAAATATTTTTCAAAACATCTAGATTTTCAGGAAGTCTCTGCTTCAGTTGCTTCAATAATGAGATAAGGAAATCTTGACAGCGTTTTCTTAAGTTGTTCTCTTCATTCTCTGTTAACAGTCCTTTTGTTTTTAAATCATAAATTTTTGATTCGATTTAATATCCAAAGTGTGGCTTAGGAGCCAAAAAGCTCTCTATAGTGCAAGTGAGCAAATCAGTTTTAGAAGTTGGCAACACCAGTCTTTTACCGAGTGAAATAGCAAGGTGAGATCATCAAGTAATTTAACTTTATCAACAAGTTTACATTCGAACAGTTTATTAACCTTTTGCACTTCCATTAGAATAGGTTATAAAAAGAGAATGAATGACACATTTTTTTCATCACTGTACATTCCAAATAGTATTTCAGCTGTGTAGCACTTTTCACTTTGTCTTGTTATTTCAAAGTGTGTCTTCAACTTCAGCCATTGCTTCATAATTCTTTCAACAGCTGGTTAAATTGATAACCATCTAGTTTTGCAATCTGACAGAATTTTCGGTGGTGTGGAACCATCATTCAAGGCTGTATATAATGTATTGTATTGCTGTTGTCTGACAAATTATTTGGAAAACCAGTAAAGTGTTTCAGCAATATGGTAATTCCAAATTCCTTAGTAAATATTTAGATGAAGCATGTGATAATGCTAGCTGCAATGAATGACGCATACATTTTATAAGTATTAACGATGGGTTAGCTTCCTTCAACCTGGCATAAACGCCATTGTTTATACCAACCATCAGTGAGGCATTATCAGTACCAATTACAGCCAAATTCTTCAAGCCTAACTGTTTGCTGATTAAAAGGTCCTTCAGTTCCTAAACTATACTTTCTACATCACACTTTTCAAATTGAACTAGTCCAAGATTTTTTACAAATCGATCAAATGGTCACAGCTTAAAATTGCACAGTCACAAATTAAAAACATTGCGACTGATACTTCAACTTTTGATGATTCATTTATCTGTATAGTTCTGAAAACAGATGTCAGCGGTGTAATATCTTTAAATGAAACTGCAGTTATATGCTTTTTTAGTCTCTGCATGACTCTTTGAGTTTTGTATTTTCGCTTTAATTTCACACTTGCAGTACTTACATCAAGCCTTGGTCATATCCCCAGTTGTTAATTTTGTCATCATGCAACCACTCTTTTCCAAATTTTGTGCTCATACTTTACTTTTGGCATGTTGAAAGGTTTTTTTCAAAGTGAAAGCCACATAAGAAGGTGAGCAATTATTTTTTTTAATCACATGAAAAAGAAACGCAAAGTCAGCACAGTGAGGATACGGTTGAAACAAAGTTAGTATGATTTATGCGCGTGTTTATTAATCAGTACCCGGGCTGCCAGATATTTGTGCGTTGACCCCAGTGAGAGTTCAAAGTTCAAGTAATGGCAGTTGTCACAATGTATGTGCAAGACCAAAACAAAAATATTGTAGTAAATATTTTACACAGTAATAATTAAATTGACAATGAAAGAAAAAAAATCTATAAAATATCTAACTCCATTTGAAAAGAATATAGAAAAATATTTACGATCTAAATGTCAAAAACAGTATCTAAATGCAATGAAAAAGATCTAAATTTGGATATTAAAGATCCAAAGTGGCAACACTGGTCTGGCTGTCCGCAAGCAGGGAGACCACTCTCTAGCATATACATTCCAACACAACCTAAACTCTAAACACAGGAGATCTTCATGTCGTCTGCCGTCGACGCTCTGCTGGAGTGCCGTCAAGTTCAAATTGATGTACCTGCCACCGGTTATGAAATGTACATTTTACAAACTTTGCGGCGCTTAGATTAAGTAGAATCCAAGTACAGATGATGTAAAATTCGGTCTGATTGTAATCTTGAGACAAAAAAATATCATGAAACTGGACTGTAAATAAGTTGACTTCATTTCATTTTACCGGCTTTAGACAATTCTTTTAATTTTAAAACTAAGCTCTGTTTATCGTTTTTTCAAGTGAAGTGTATTCTACCCCTGCTGTCTTTATCTTTCACTTGCTACCAATTATCTGCTTATTTTCTTGAGTATATATCAGTCATAATGTTTGGAATTAAACTTTTATTAATTTTACTGCTTCTGATCCTTTTGACGATTTCTGGAACTTTGGTTTTCATCAAAGGATTTCTGCTATCTAGAAGTGTCATTGAAACTAAAAGTCAGTGTTCACCGGAATTTGCCCTCCGAGCCGAAGATCATTCGCATCATGGTGTCGAAGGTTGCTGGATGCATGGCAGGTTTAAGAGAGCAATAATTGTCATCATTGATGCATTGAAATATGAATTTATGGCATTCAATTCCTCACTACAACAAAATGATGTCACACACTACAAAAACAAGCTGCCCTCTATACACCAGTTGTTGAAACGAAAACCTCTAAATTCACGGCTTTATAAATTTATTGCCGATCCACCAACAACAACAATGCAAAGACTAAAAGGACTTACCACCGGCAGTTTACCAACCTTTGTTGATGCAGGGGCAAATTTCCACAGCTATGCAATAACTGAAGATAATTTGATTGATCAAATGCTGAGGCAAGACAAAAAAGTGAAATTCTTTGGAGATGATACCTGGCTGAGTTTGTTCCCAGGAAAATTCTCTAAGTCGTTTGATTTCCCTTCATTTGATGTGAAGGATCTGCATACAGTAGATAATGGAATACTGACACACATATATCCTGAGATGAGGCAGTCCAACTGGGATGTCATTATAGCTCACTTTCTTGGTGTTGATCATTGCGGTCACAAATATGGCCCCAACCATTCTGCAATGGCAGAGAAACTGACACAGATGGATGCAGTGATCAGGTAACTCATGTTTATAAATTCATGTTTGTTAGCTCTTTTACCCCATGAACTGTTTTTTTTAGAAAAAAAAAAAAGGGAATGACTCCTTTATAATTCCTGAAAAATCAGTAAAGGCATTTTTTACACAGATCGCCAATAAATTTATTTTTTAAAATGAATTATAAAAATATACACATTTTTGTGGTTGTTGAAATATTTTAAGTTTTATGAAAGGAGTAATCAACAAACATGAACAGTGTGAAAAACGAAATATCATACATCCCTTGGGGCCTAAACAACATATACATACAGGGTGACTCATGCTGTGACCCCATGACCATTGCCAATCAGGCTTTGGAGAACAACTGATGCTATCTTGGTTTTGAAAAAGCAAAAAGGAGAACCCCTCTAACTGCTATTGTTAGTTCATTTATTAATATCCTCACTATCTAACTCATTAACTATACATCCCATAAAACATGTAAAGATATGATTGATTGGCACCTTTTCATCTTTCCGGACATAGTGGTATATGGCAATATGAGGAGGCATCAGACCCACAGCCCATTGCCAGTATGGCTAGCAAGACCTGTCCGCGTTAAGAAAGGTCTTCCACAATTATAGCATGGGATTTCAGGACTACTGTTGTGAGCATTTATGTTTAGCTTGTTTCTTCTCAGACACTCAGCTCTCATCCTTTCTACAATAATTTCTTCATTCATTCTCATTCCCTTCCTGATGTGCCCCCTCCACACAACACGGTCCATGGCATTTTGTTCTCGCAAGTCCACCTTTCAATACCTGTGTCATTCATGTCTCGCTTACACATGTCTTTAATATTACAGTAGAGGTCGGCATCAACAACTTCTACCCGTCTTCAGTTCACCATAAAGGATGTCCTTAGGGACTCTGCCATCCTTAATTCTCCAGGTGTGACCCAGCCACCTGAGTCTTCTTGGAACTGGACCCAACTGAAAGTGTCAGATTTTCATCTTTTCGGGGTGAAAGGGTTACAGAGCTATAAGTCAGTTTTTTGTTGTTTTATTTTTAGTTAAAGAAAATGTTGAACAATCAAAACAAAAATGTGGCCCCAGACCCACATGAGTGATTGGATTTGTTATAACAGAAATAACGCATGCAGACACCCCCCACCCACCTCCTTTTCCTTTCCCTTGATGACACCGCCCAACTTCTTAAAAACCAAATATAACTGTGCTATATGGCTAAACAGGTTTTCTGGTATTTGTAGCTGTGAAATTCTCATCCATTAAGTGTTATTCCTACAGAATACAAATGTGGAGGGGTGAAACTTCAGACTCCCCCCCCCCCCCCCCCCCCCCCCCCCAAAAAAAAAAGCATAAGAGGAAAGCCTAAATGACTGAAACCATTTTGCACTCAATGACAGAAGGGAGTGAACCATGACATAGAGTATCGTTTCAGTCCCAGCTAGCTTTAACTTCAGTACTGTGTAGCCTAAAGTTTCTATAGTTTTGGACCACAACCACAATTTAGTTTTGTCTTACAGAATTTTAAAAAAAAAAAAGGTAATATTAATTTTTTAACATTCTATAACTCATAGTTGATATACTGTAGGGTAACAGTCATCAAGTCTTAGCAAACTGAAATTGCAAAAATACAAAACAGAATTAGTTAAAATAGCTTCTACGGTAGAAAGGATAAGCATAACAGAATTATGGGAGGTGGGACAGAAAACATTAGCCAGTGTATATCATATACATCATCATCAATAAATATAGCAGAAGCTGCCTGGTACAGAAAGAATGCTCTATTATTATAGACTGCCAATGCCTGCCATAACTAAGCAAGCTCCAGTGGACCAATACGTGAGGAAAAGACGCTGGTGTTGGATAGGACACACATTGAGAAAACCGGAGAACAGCATAACTAGAATGCATTGGAACCCACAGGGACATAGGAATAAATGAAGGCCAAAAAATACATGGAGTAGAGAGCTGGAGAATGAAGTTCGAAAGATAGGGAGGAAATGGGGAGAGCTGCATGCGTTAGTGAAGGATAGAACGACTTGGTGTGAGTTGGTTGAGGGCCTTTGTTCCATTGGGCGCTAGAAAGGCAGAAGAAGAAGAATGCCTGCCTTGAATATTTTGAACATAAATTCATTTGTTTTTCCCTCTGTTTTGTTTCCGTGTTTTGCCAGAAATATCACTGAGATGATGCGAGATGACACAGTGCTGTTTGTGATGGGAGATCATGGAATGACAAAGACTGGGGATCATGGTGGTGACAGTGCTGACGAGCTGGAGGCTGGTCTTTTCATTTACAGCCCTGCCCAGATTACACACACCCCACAGAAGGAGGTAGAATACTTTGAGATGACTCATCTTGATGGAAATTGTTTTCAGGTTTAGTCTGGGCTTTTTTTTTATAGAAAAGAAAGTGTTGATTCTCGCATAAAATGTCTTTAAAAGGTGTGGGCACTCACCACACAGTTTCTATTAAGTAGCGCTGAAAATGACGCCTAAGAAAATGTGCTTGTGCTGGAGACCATTGCCCACCACCAGATAAAAAAATTAAAAAAAAAAAAGAACATCCTTGAGCTTCATAAATATAAAAAGTAAAGGAAAGCATCGTTTTCATGCCTTAACCCTTTCACACCGGAAACGCTTTAAAAAAAAAAAAAAGGATCCTGTGAGAATCCATGAAAAATACTATGAAAACATTTATATGACATAGATAACTAATAAGTAAAGGACCCTTTTCCACACCTTCAGATGTATTGGGCATATAGGGCTAGACCTATATTTTAGAGACCAATCGACACTTGGTGGGTCATGTGGTCAGCATCACACCGGCCGTCTTTACTTCTGAGGACTACTCCTGGTACCCACCCTAGGCTGAGATGACCTGACCTGGGAGCCAAGTTCATTTTTGAAAAAAATTTGGAAACATTTAGCTCCGTTTGAATCCAAACCCACGGCCTTCAGATCTACAAATACCAGAACTATAGTCACGAAATTGGCGCAAATTAACCAGACTACAAATTTAGCTGGAGACTGTTAATTTTCTTTCTCAAAAGGAATAGGAATAGGAAATGCCAGGTTGATGGCTTCTCATGATGACAGGTTAAGACCTATTGGGTATATACTGCTAGCACCATGTGTTTGTAGCCCACTTGGCACATGTGATGTGTTTGTAGACCACTTGGCACATGTGATGTGTTTGTAGACCACTTGGCACATGTGATGTGTTTGTAGACCACCTGGCACATGTGATGTGTTTGTAGCCCACTTGGCACATATGATGTGTTTGTAGACCACTTGGCACATGTGATGTGTTTGTAGACCACCTGGCGCATGTGATGTGTTTGTAGCCCACTTGGCACATGTGATGTGTTTGTAGACCACCTGGCACATGTGATGTATTTGGTCTCATGCTGGATGCCTTTACCCTCTAGAATATTTCTTGATACCTGTTTTAGGTTGGATTGACTTGAATGCTTAGGTAATTTTTAAAAGCTAATCACCTTGAAGGTGATTTTAAAAAAAATTACCACCAAGCTGGCAGCAAACATGCTAGCCACTGTGGTGCTGAAACTCCCTTTAGTAAGTTTAATGCTCTTTGGGCCTTGTTTTTCTGGCAGTATGCAGTACTGGCACCTTGTTTAGCGCATATTAGGGGGGTGGGGGGGAAGGGACAGTACTGTAATAGACAGTGAGCTCACCTTTGTGAGCAGAAAAAAATTCCTGATGCTATTAAATATTATTTTACCTCTCTCAGTACCAAGTATTTCACTGTGTTATTATGATGTGTTTACTGTTGCCGTCTTCTTGTATCTCGTCATTCTGTTACACTTATTATGTTTATACATTCTGTTTAATGCAGTTTTCATTTCATCTACTTTGGACTCATTAATTAGTGATTTAAATAAAATTTCTTTCGAACAACTGCACACAAAACTGTATGTCTCAGACGTTAGTGCATGCATTTAATGATGTCACTATCATCTTGTACCGGGGTCAGATTTCTGTGTTGAACAGTTTAAAATCTGTTCTCACACCTTTTGGAGTATGAGAGTCGCACCATGGAAGAGACTGGGGCCCCACCACACAATAATCCCAAAGACAACTGTGGATGCATCCCATTGTAGAGATGGCATAGCATTTTCTATTGAATGCAAAACTACTTGGTACTGAAAGAGTTTACTGAAAGACAGAAACATTAACCCTCTATCCCTGAAAAGCAACAAAAGCGACTCTTCAGATTTGGCCAGTCACTTCATAAATGCTATTGAACAGAATTTTCTGGAATGACATGTTAATCAAATGCATGGTTAACACTGTTGGTTGTGTTCACTCCTGCACAGCATTTAAGAAGTCAGGATATGAACCCAGTGGCTTTTTAATGCCATGTTGACATCACATTTTCATGTAGTCTTAATGATAGAAGTCACAGAGTTACTGCCTGAGTCAGCTGATATATTTTGTTCAGGTCACGGGGAATGTTGTCCATTTACTATTTAATGCTTCACTATGTTCTTGTTTATTCAGTTTATGTATCTTGATATATGTAGAAAAATGTGTAGATTAATAAATTTTGTAACAATTAGTGATCTGTGCCAAATAATTGTTTTTGAAGAGATTTGTGAAAGGGGGGGGGGGGGGAATTCTCATAGATTAATGTCCCAGTTGTTTGAGTGTTCGCAGGTTTAAAGCAAGAACTCATAATAAAAAACTATTAAAACACAACGTGGCAAGAACATAAAACGTGCAGTGTGGAATGAACTGACACTTTACTGAACTGATTGATAAGACAATTGCATTTTGTTATTTGTCACTACATTGCAGGATGAGAATGTTGCTGTCGCACAAACTGACTTTGTACCTACTCTAGCCTTGTTAATGGGTTTGCCAATACCATTTTCTAATCTGGGAATGGTCATACCAGAGCTGTTTGGTCACTGCCCGTGGTGGGATACGGGGTCGAATGAGATTCGTCGTGTCTACCACAGAGTGAAGGTATGTTAATGTATGGAGAATTTTGTCTTCACAAGTTTCTGCCTCTGAACCTGCAAGCCTGCTGTAAAAGTTGAGTGAGAGTGTAGTTGAGTTGATTTTAATATACAGTAGTTTTTAAAACATTTTCCCATTTGTGCTGTGATGAGAAGGAAATTCTACAAAGGACCTGCTCTATCAGGATAATGATGATAGTAATACATTTGGTTAGAATAAATACTATTGAAAATTGGATTGCTAAATTTTATTATGTTTTTCCTCATTATGGTTTGAGAAAGTTAGTAAAATATGAGCAAAGTATATAGTCCGAAAGCTCCTAGCTTCATTTTAAATTTGCTAAATTTCTGTGTAACCATTTCTACTTACATAATCGTTTGAAGTTACTTTGTGTGTTGTTTTATTTTCGGTGTTTTTTTAATTTTCATTGTTAAATCTCCTTTGCCATTGACACTTATTTAATTCATTTCAGGCCCTGAGACTAAATGCCCAACAAATCAGCACATACCTGGCAACTTACCAGCAGATAGCTTCAGACCTGCCTGTACCCCAGCTGAGGTCTTTGCAGCAACAGATCAACAAAGCAGAAAGTGATGTTCAGAACTTAATCACAGCAATGATTAAAGATGGAGCCACTGATGATGCTTTGCATAAATTCATTGCTTTAGAGGAAGCATACAAGTCCTATATCAGAGAAGCTAGGGAAACATGTGAAGGTGTTTGGGCCAAATTTGACCTGAAGTTGATTGTAACAGGACTTCTAACAGTTGCAGTTGGAGTTTCACAAAGTTGTTACTTCTTTGTTGCATGGAGCAATTCTGATGACAGCTTCCCAACGCTAGCCAAATTTTTGATTGGGGGATCAGCACTGCATCTGTTTTACCTGACTCTACACATGTTGTTCTTTCCTGAAACAGTTCCACCTCTCATGGCAGTCATTCTTGCCCTGGTGCTCATATTTGTGAGTGTTGTTGGTATTAAAAACAGTCCCCTTATCAATAATATCGAGATGAGAAGGTATCTAACCATCGACAACATTATATCAAGTCTAATTCTTATCATGAACTGCTGTCTCTTTTTCTCCAACAGTTTTATAGTTTATGAAAATGCAGTAACTATGTTCTTCATGCAGACATTAATTGTAGTAGTTTTTCTGAAAATTATATTTAAAAACTTTTCTGTTCAGAGGAAAGAAGCTTTGAAACCTGATATTGGAAGACAGATGCGCAAGTCAAAAGCAGCAAACTATGATCTACTTCATGTTATTACCCAACCTTCGACTGCTGCCTTTATTGTAATTATCATTTGTTGTATTGTTTTAAGAATAGCTTCCAGCTTTTACTCCTGCAGAGAAGAGCAGCATTCTTGTGAAGATTCTACTTTTATATTACCTTTATCTTCTTTGGACGAAAGGACAAGGAATCAGAGGTACCTCTTCAGTGTGTTCTGTATAGCAGCGATGGTGACTGCAGTCAGGTATTGGCTCAAACACTATGGGAATATGAACGGAATGGGTGCAGGAGTTACTGCTGCATACTATGGCCCTCCTTTGGCCGCTTTATTCATTGTCTTCCACTGGGCATTGCAAGCACTTCCACAGTCGGTGCTGGATTCATTTCCCCGGTGGCAACAAGTACTGATGGCACAAATTGTCTATGCCATTATCATCGTGTGCCTCATTGTCATCTTGTCATCACCAGTGCTTGTGTACTTACTTCCCACAAGGACAGACTTTCAAATCCCCTATCAAGGTAATGTATTTAATGCACTTATAGATGTCTGCTTTGTCACAATTATATATGTGTCTTCCCACATAGGTTTCGGGGCCCCATTGTGTGTGTGTGTGGGGGGGGGGGGTGAACTCACTGCCCCCTAACAAGCATGTCATAAGAGACGACTAATGAGGGGTTTTTCCTTCAAAGTCGGAGTGCATCTGTCTAAGAGGTGGTGAACCAATAGTCGGCATACAATAAGCCAGATTTGTAAAATGGATGTGCACATAAAACTCTGGAAGAAGACTCAAGTTCAGAAGTGGATGAACAACTGTAACTTCCTGTTGGAGTTTACAGCCCGTAATGGTAAACAAGAAGAAGATATATGTGTCTGTATATGCATGCTTGTGAGTAAGTGATTTTATTTGTTACTACAACAGCATATTGACAGAGAGACAGTTAAGATAATGAAGATTACAGTTTTTAAAAAAAAAATGATGAACAACAACAGTAGGATAAACCTGGTGGGCTGTCATGATTCCAGCAATATCTTATTTGTATTCAGCCCTCCCTTCCACCACTGTGTCATAGACTGATGAACTGCTAGATTATTCCACTGCTTGTGATGGTATAACCCAGTTAAGGAAACATTGGTTACAGCAGTCTTTCCCTTTTGGAGGTCTGCGGACACCTGGAACAAATTTAAGGGGTCACCCATATCTTTCATATCTTTTACACACACAAACACATAAAAACCTGAACTTTAGAATGCGATCCTTCCTTCCCTCTTCTTCTTTTCTGCTTTCTCTTTTACCGCTTTAAATGTTGAGGGAGATATAAGGTTCTGCTTCTTGCACTTCTGGCTGCATCGACCATAGATCATAGTCTTGTATTGTTTATCTGATGGTATCTTTCCATATTTTTCTTGGTCTACCCTGTGTCCTTTATCCATTTCCTTTGGTGTTTACCCTGTATGGTATGGTGTCACAGGGCATTCTTTCAAAGTTGGCAAATAATTTGGTTTGCTTTCATTGCCATTTTAATATTTATAAATTATAAGTTCTTCAGTGCCACTATTCAAAGTATGGGACCAATGACAGTTCTTCAGAAATAAGAGGGGTCTACGGATCTCAGCTAATTAAGAGCAGCACACAAAGCATAATCACTGTAGCACCATGGATGATCCCCAGGAATCTCCGTATAAATTGCACTCCTCACTCGAACAGCACAGCCATGAACAAACCCACAACCTTCAGAGCACGAGGCAAATGATTTGGCCATGCTGGATCCTTCCCCACCTGATTCTTCAAAATTTCTTGAAGTATTAAATTAGCATCTTTGATAATACTGGACAGTAAGAACTTCACATTGTATAAGGCATACAGAGATTTAAATACATGTACTTACACCCTTTAACACAATTGTAACCAATATTAAATTATACTCATTATTTCTTAAGCTGAAATAATTCATATGTACTTTAAGAATGTTGAATTAAGAATTAACATCATAGCACTCAGGACACTCCCATACCCGCTGCGTCCATATCTTCAGCAGCAAACGAAGAGTTCCAAGTAACTGTCTGATTGTACCTCCATTTTGCCCTTTCCTTGAGTGTTAAGCGTGGACCAGATCCCCTGGTAACATATGTACTTAATGTTTGCATGATATATTGTTTTTTTTTTGGGGGGGGGGAGGGGGGGGGGGGGTCTGTACTTTTATATTATCACAGTATATTTTTTCCATATATACTTGATGTTAACATGATTTTTAAATTTTTGTAATACTGCAGCCCACTTCAAGCACATAGTTCCCACACTGTACAACCAGCTCAAAGTTCAATTAAGTGAGAGCGAAGGTGGCAGCAGTGATGCCAATAAAGCTCCAGTGGTGTATGGACTGGGTTCTGTCTACAGTTCTAGTGTGGTCCTTCTGGTGTCTGTAGTGAGTTTGCTGTTGGCCCTCATGCTGGGTGATGGAATTGCTCCAAGTCTTCTTTTAGCCACAGTGCTTCTATATCTTTTCCTGGAGCTGTATTCTGTTTCTGTGAACAGTCAGGAGCTTGGTAAGAAATCATCTTATATTTTTCTGAATGCTTTTCCATGCTTGAAAGTTGTTGAAATGTTTGATTGAAATGGTTATTTGAGTACCAAAGTATTTCTCAGGATGCCTCAAGGGAACTCTTCTTCTTCTTTGTTGCGTCCACCGGCTGTAAACTTTGGTGCAAAGTTCTGGTTGTTTGTTGCTTCTAGACTGTTCCAGAATTTAAGTTCTGTATGCACATTCATTTTACAGATCTGGCTTTTATGTATGCAGACTGTTGGTTCCTTGTCTCTCAAGCAGATGCACTCCGACTTCAGAGGAAGCGACCATGAGTAGTAGACTTTGACAACATGCTTGCTAGGAGGTCGATGAGTCTCTTGATTACCCCTACCCCTTTACCCTCTTCTTTCCTTTCCACATTGGGGTTCGGAGCCCACAAGAGGACCTAAATGGTACAACTATTATATGAATTCAACAACTTTCACATTTGCAGTATCTTGTGTAAAACATGAACTGTTCTGCATATTACAATAATTGGCCATGTTTCTTTAGTACATATGGCATCAAATCAGCTGTTGCTTGATGCTTATGGACAATAGTTTTTCCTACATCATGTGTTGTTTAGGACTACAAGAGTCAAAAATGAAAGGATCCACTTCATTGTGCCAGGTTTATTCCATCCGACTTTGTCTCTCTCCACATAGCAGACTTTGTCTCTCCCCACATAGCAGACTTTGTCTCTCCCCACATAGCAGACTTTGTCTCTCTCCACATAGCAGACTTTGTCTCTCTCCACATAGCAGACTTTGTCTCTCTCCACATAGCAGACTTTGTCTCTCTCCACATAGCAGACTTTGTCTCTCTCCACATAGCAGACTTTGTCTCTCTCCACATAGCAGACTTTGTCTCTCTCCACATAGCAGACTTTGTCTCTCTCCACATAGCAGACTTTGTCTCTCTCCACATAGCAGCTCTTTGTCTGCCCAGAGTATTATACAAAGTGCTCCATCAGTTTCCATGCATAGAAAAATAAACATTTATTTTTTAGTTAAACATAAAAAATTATATATATATAATTTGCTCTGTGTGACTACCATAGTTTTATAAACACATTTTGATGCATGTCCTCCATAAGCTAAAGAACATGTATAAACACAACTGGAGTTATGCTTGTAATGGTGGCGGTGATATGTTTTACTTTTCCTTTGTATGGAAACTTACGGGACACCTTGTACAAAGCACATATTTTGTACCTCTGGTGGTCACCCATAGGGATTACTGAACACAGTGCACTCATGAACCGAATGATGCAGTCCAGAAATGGCTTTAGTTTACTTTTTAGAAAATTTCCTGGATCTGATTTTAGGTTGGGGTGATTCTTGTAGTCTTGTAGTCCAGGTAAATTAAACAAATTCATACCTCATATGGGATTCAGACACAGGACCATTGAGCCATGTTGCTGCTGGCCAAACGGTTAAGAGTTAAGAACACAGGGTTTGAATATTTAGTAAGGTTGCGGACTTTTTTCTATCGTGGGCAAAAAATACAGTCTTAACATTCGCAGTCTGTGGCGACAGCACAGTGACAGCTGAAACAGTAATGGCAGTTTGGCCAGCAGACGTGGGCTAGCCACGGTGCTACTGTGGTCCCCCCCCCCCCCTCTCTCATATATTAACCACATATAATAGCTTCATGAAGCACATAGTGGACTTAGGATGTGTGTAGATGTGCGTGCCTGTTGGTGAGTGGGTGCTTCTTGTGTGACAGTGAAGAGACAACAGTTAAGCTCATCATTTTTCTACAATGTCGTACAACAGATTCAGTGAATGAAGGGCCCACTTGGTCTGGTATTGTGATGCTGAGTCTTCTGTCAACCATTTTCTTCTTTGCCACTGGCCACCAAGCAACAATACCCAGTATTCGATTTGAGGCGGCCTACACTGGTTTTTATGGAGACTTCAACACACTGCTTCTTCCAGGTACGGTTAGTAACATGATTACAGATGTGTGCATCAACTTTTAGTGGCAATTGTTATTTCTTTGAATGTGTGATGTTGAGAAGGAAGGAATGCTGTAGGAACAACAGTTTATTCTCAAACAGGCATGCCTAAAACATCATGTAGAGGGCATACTAGCAGCTGGCAAACAGTAGCAGAAAATGTTGACATCCTCAGCTGATCTGTGCGAGCAGCATATTACAAATGTTGAGGTTAGGCTAAATAAACCTGTTTCATGTTGCTAATAAAAAAGACTAATTCAGCGGGGGTTTTTTTTTTGGGGGGGGGGGGGGGGTGAGTAGAGGTTCTGGAAGATATTCAGCACTAAGGGGAAACATAGGCAGACTCTATTCAACTTGCAACAGGTAATGTTAGAATGTCAACTCTTCCTTGGCTCTTGAGGAAGGAGATGGAGCACACAATTCTTGATTCATTCAAGGTTGCTGGAATGAGGTATGATTTCTGTAGGATGGGATGTGTGAGGTCATGAATCTGAGGAGTTTACAGTTGGTGTGATACTTAAAATGATCAGCATATGCACCCTTGACATTTGTTGAAGGAGACACTGGATCTACAGTTTTGTCCAGAGTGCTGTGTTGAACTAACCATTGAGTGAAGATATAAGATGAATGGACAACCATAAGACAAAGAAGATGGTGCTGTTTTGGACACACCCTGAGAAGTTAGCAGAGAACTATAGCACAGGCACTGAAATTGGGAACACAATGGATTGAGGAAACGAGGATGTCCAACAGAAACCCCAATATGAATTTTGATAATAGCACAACAGAACGTGGATCACCCATTCATTCTCATTACCCCAAGTCAAAACACTTATCAAGGGAAAATACAAGGAATTGTGGAGAGAACAAACCAACATCCACAAGACCCCATAAACAGAATCAGCAAAAAGTAACAACCAACAATTTTCCACCTATGAACAGGGCACTGCAGGCTCAGTTACCAAATGCATAAAATAAAGATTGTATAGTCCTCCCAGTGTGAATGTCAGACAGGATCACAGTGCCCACTGTGTAAATGTCAGACAGGACCACAGTCCCCACTGTGTGAATGTCAGACAGGACCACAGTCCCCACTGTGTGAATGTCAGACAGGACCACAGTCCCCACAGTGTGAATGTCAGGCAGGACCACAGTGTGAATGTCAGACAGGACCACAGTCTCCACAGTGTAAATGTCAGACAGGACCACAGTGCCCACTGTGTGAATGTCAGACAGGACCACAGTCCCCACAGTGTGAATGTCAGACAGGACCACAGTCCGCACAGTGTGAATGTCAGACAGGACCACAGTCCCCACAGTATGAATGTCAGACAGGACCACAGTGCCCACAGTGTGAATGTCAGACAGGACCACAGTGCCCACAGTGTGAATGTCAGACAGGACCACAGTGACCACTGTGTGAATGTCAGACAGGACCACAGTGCCCACTGTGTGAATGTCAGACAGGACCACAGTCCCCACTGTGTGAATGTCAGACAGGACCACAGTCCCCACAGTGTGAATGTCAGACAGGACCACAGTCCCCACTGTGTGGATGTCAGACAGGACCACAGTCCCCACAGTGTGAATGTCAGACAGGACCACAGTGTGAATGTCAGACAGGACCACAGTCTCCACAGTGTGAATGTCAGACAGGACCACAGTGCCCACTGTGTGAATGTCAGACAGGACCACAGTCCCCACAGTGTGAATGTCAGACAGGACCACAGTCCGCACAGTGTGAATGTCAGACAGGACCACAGTCCCCACAGTATGAATGTCAGACAGGACCACAGTGCCCACAGTGTGAATGTCAGACAGGACCAAAGTACGCACAGTGTGAATGTCAGACAGGACCACAGTCCCCACAGTGTGAATGTCAGACAGGACCACAGTCCCCACAGTGTGAATGTCAGACAGGACCACAGTCCGCACAGTGTGAATGTCAGACAGGACCACAGTCCCCACAGTATGAATGTCAGACAGGACCACAGTGCCCACAGTGTGAATGTCAGACAGGACCACAGTCCGCACAGTGTGAATGTCAGACAGGACCACAGTCCCCACAGAATGAATGTCAGACAGGACCACAGTCCCCACAGTATGAATGTCAGACAGGACCACAGTGTAAATGTCAGACAGGAGGACAGTCCCCACAGTGCGAATGTCAGACAGGACCACAGTGCCCACAGTGTGAATGTCAGACAGGACCACAGTGTAAATATCAGACAGGACCACAGTCCCTACAGTGCGAATGTCAGACAGGACCACAGTGCCCATAGTGTGAATGTCAGACAGGACCACAGTGCCCACAGTGTGAGTGTCAGACAGGACCAAGTGCTCACAGTGTGACAGTCAAACAGGACCACAAACACCTGAGCACATTCTGCACACCTGCCCACTCTACCTACAACTTCGAAAATAAAAACCTGGCCTCAAGAGCAAAGTGTGCAGAGCCAGCCAAGGGGAACAATGAAGGACCTGCAGCTGACATACGACTCACAGAGGCAACCAACCTGATGGTCTGACCTGAGCGTATGCAATCAAACGCAAAGAAAGAAGGAGAATGCGGATGATGATAGTGAGTGAGGATGTATCATAAACTGTAATAAAAACAAAACCATAGGTGTTTTTTTTTTGTGTGTCTTTTTTTTAATGCATGATAATTGTCTGTTCCAAACAGGATTCCTTATCTGGCTAAATACGTTTTCTGGGCCAATAATATTCAATCTTGCCTGGCCACTTTTGATATTCTGGCCTCTGCTGTCCAGTGCTTTGATGAAAATGATGGTCAAAAGGACATTCCAACAGAAGCAGAATGAAGGAAGTTGGAAAGGAGACTTCAGACTGTATGATAATGCCACACTGTTGAGAAAACATCTCTTCAGAGTATGCTGTGGAATGATAGGCATTGCTTCAGTGAAGGTAAAAGTATCTTTCACAATGTTAAATTGTCTGTGTAAAACCAATGTTACACTTTATAACAGGGCTATTCAATTAAGTTTACCCATGAGCCAAAAATTTTGAAAATGGGGATCATTACGGGCCAGGGCCCAAGCCCAAGTGTAGAAAGATCATTAATGCAATACAGCTGGCAATGATCCGCCGGCCACTTGCTAGGCCTCTGCGGGCCAAATTGGCCCACAGGCTGCCTGTTAAGTAGCCAAGCTTTATAAGAACTAATTTTATACAACTTTTAAAGAATTGAGATAAATTATTTCTTTCCAAGAAGGCAGTTTGCTGGAACGAAAAGTCTTGTCAGGAGTCTTGTTATACAATATATATTATGTAGGTGGTAGTCTAATGCCCTTTACGAACTAACATTAATACTAATACTCCCTGTATGGCTTGTGGGGCTTTAACCTCCCCCCCCCCCCCAACTTTTCCCAACCCCAAGGCAAGTTGTAAAATGCAACTAATTAGGGGTTTGTTGAGATCACATGTGTTAGGCCCAAAAGTCACAGATGCCTAGCTGTAAACCACAGTAATGTGTCACCCACCCTTTTAAGAGGAAATGCAACTGAAGAATACCAGTACCGCTGCTTATGCATGGCAACCACTCTTGACAGGGTGAAAGCAGAAAAGAAGGTACCCATACAGCAGTAGCTACTGAGGGATGACTGCAGTTTCCAGTCTTCTGCTAGGGATTGCTGCTTTTTCTAATCTACTGATTGATTGCTGCATTTTCTAATCTACTGAGAGATTACAGCATGTTCTAATCTACTGAAGGATTACTGCATTTTCTAATTTTCTACTGAAGGATTACTGCATTTTATTATCTTTTACTAAATTACTGCATTTTCTAATCTACTGATGGATTACTGCATTTTCTAATCTTCTGATGGATTACTGCATTTTCTAATCTTCTGCTGAAGGATTATTGAAATTTCTAATCTTCTACTGATGATTACTGCATTTTCTTAACTTTTACTAGATTACTGCATTTTCTAATCTACTGATGGATTACTGCATTTTCTAATCTACTGATGGATTACTGCATTTTCTAATCTACTGATAGATTACTGCATTTTCTAATCTGCTGATGGATTACTGCATTTTCTTATCTTCTACTGATGGATTACTGCATTTTCTTATCTTCTACTGATGGATTACTGCATCTTCTACTGATGGATTACTGCATTTTCTAATCTTCTACTGATTGATTACTGCATTTTCTAATCTTCTACTGATTGATTACTGCATTTTCTTATCTTCTACTGATGGATTACTGCATTTTCTAATCTTCTACTGATTGACTACTGCATTTTCTTATCTTCTACTGATGGATCACTGCATTTTCTTATCTTCTACTGATGGATTGCTGCATCTTCTACTGATGGATTACTGCATTTTCTAATCTTCTACTGATTGATTACTGCATTTTCTTATCTTCTACTGATGGATTACTGCATTTTCTTATCTTCTACTGATTGATTAGTGTATTTTTCATTCTACTAAAGAAGTACAGTATTTTAATCTGTTAACTAAATAAATACCCACACAACAGTATCTGCTAAGTCATTACTGCATTTTCTAATCTATAACCTAGAAACATTCACAGCCTTTATATATACTTGCATTTTGTTTCAGTTATTGGCAGCAGGTTGTGCCGCAGCTCTGCACCGTCGACATCTCATGGTGTGGAAAATCTTTGCCCCAAGGTTCATTTATGAGGCAGCTTTCTTCACGACTTCATCTGCCTGTGCCATTTTGGCATTTTTATTTGTTCTCAGAGTGGACAGTGCTCTTTCGGCATTTATCAGAAAGTTGCCAACTAAAAAGCAGAGTTAATTAAATGGCTTCATCGTTGTTATGTTTTTTAATGAGATAGAATGCTTATCACAAAGTTCTATCGATTTAGCACAATTTAATTGCAGACTGGTTTTGTAATCCTGTTGTTCGAAAGAAATGAAAATGTCTGTCATGGTATAGTCAGCATGGTGTTTTTTTATATGTACTGATTTGCAACTGTATGCAGGAAAAGGATGCCACGGATCATGGTGCACCAAGAAGGGGAAATCAAAAAGGGAATAAGGACCAAGGACAAAATAATTGCAGAAATGTTAAAAGCTGAGTGTTTGAAACATGTCTTACAGTGGTCATGAAATCTCATGTATCTGTTGTGGGAGATTTTCCTTAACACAAGCCAGCAGCTGGTCTTGCTAGTAGCAAATGCCATCACCATGATAGATTTCCACGCCTCCCAGTGGCATAATGTATCTGGATCATCTGGAAAGATGGAAGTGTGCCAGTGTAACAGAACCATATAAGCAACAGTTGTAAAAAGTGTGTTAGGTTATTTGTTGAGGTAATGCTCACACATGGGAGCTGCCAGAGTGTAGCAGCTAGACACTCGCCTGTTGAAGATCTTGGTGTTGAAACTGAATGAATTGAACTTATATTTTCGCTTCCAGATTGACCCAGCCGTGAATGGGTAACAGGTAAAGACCTCGGACTCAAAGGCTGCTAATGAGATGATGACCACATTACACACCGAGTGCCGATTGGTCTATAAAATATAGATCTAACCCTATATGCCCAGTACACCTGAAGGCATGGAAAAAGATCTTTTTAATTGTTAAACTCACACCTGGCTCACCATCTTGTGCTGATCCTTGATAAGAGTGGCAATGGACTGCCTAAAACCTAGCATTCTGCAGCACTGGGAACAATAAGAATGACCATGTAATGGCAAAGATATATAAAGCAGATATTGTCATTGAGGTATGGTATGTCTTTACATATTCTAGGCAAAAACATGTGAGAATAGATGAACAGACAATCTTTATTTTCAGAGGGTCAAGAATTGGGCATGCAGACCCATCTAACATTCTGCCCTTCCAGTCTCACTCCTTGCATTCTGTTTTTCACTCGTACATCATTTCACAGGTAATACTATATATTTTCAACGACATCTAAGTTTTATTTACAAATGCTTGAATGTGCGTAATTATACAGACATTACTAATCTAAAATAAAGGCTGGCCTTTTTTTTTTTTTTTTGTCATCTATATCTTTCCAGACAGTTTGGAAAATTGTCTGATATGTATTATTATGAGGCTGGGTCGATGTCAGATCCGTACCGGTAAAGCAATAATTGTGTGGACCTCATAGCTATATTAGTTTTTTTATATATATATATATGTGTGCGTGTGTGTGTGTGTGCGTGTAAATAAATAAATACTCCTGGGGATAAGTTGATCGATGGATTAAATATCTACCGTGACAGTCAGTGGTAAGTTCACTGGTCAGATTCATATATAACTTCTACAAAAAAAGGTGACCTCTCCAAAATAAGGTTGTTTAGGTTTGAACAACGGATCAACATCATGGCATACGAATAGTTACCCATAAGTGCTCTGTTCTACTACTTAATCAGGTCTGAGTCCGAAAAAAATCAGCTCATTGCACAAGCTCCGTAGCACCGGCAGAGATCCTGAAATATTTTGGGTAGATTTGTAACTCTAAATTTTACCCGGATAGCGGCATTAGGCTACTCTTTTCGTTTTCTAACTACTAAGGGATTTTTACGTCCACAACAATACACACGGGCACCCAATCTCACTATCCAGAGACTAGGGAAAATGACTAAGTCCACATGAAAAAAAAAAAACGAGCCTGAACCCAGGACTCCAGTACTCATTTGTGGTAAGTCATGTTTTGATGGTGACCATCCTTCAGTTAGTGCTGTGTCCATAGTAAAGTACAGCTGCAATTGATCTCCAGTAAGCTTTGTCCTGGTTGTACACAATCTAGAGCAGGCTTCTTCAACCCTTGGACCGCAGCCCACTGGAGGACTGCAAAAATGTCTAGGTTGTCAACCCTAAAAAAATTATGCCTAATCATGTAACCAGGTTGGGTAGGTGGGTTTTTTCCCTGCCAGTCTGTAGGATTGACCGTTCAAGGACTTCCTGTTTGTGGACAGTGACATTTTTAAACATATCAGTAATAAAAATCAAACTAGAGAAATCAAATTATGTTTAATACAGTGGGCCTTATCTATCAGAAACAACTCCAGCCATTTATATCACATTTGTAAATTTCTAAGCAGCAGCAGAAGATGTCGCATTAGCTGAAAATTATAATTTTGTGACTTTGGATTTAACAAATAAACAACTGTCTATATTTGTTTTTTGTTTCTTGTTTGGTTAGCTGTCAGATGGGCAGCAAAAGAATTGACCCTGTTTTGGTGGGTCCCAGATGTAAAATGTTTGAGGAACCCTGATCTAGGGTACCAGTCATTGTCCTATAGTATTTCTTGTTTACAATACAGGGTTTGTAAATGTTTACTGTAGCAGTCAGTAATAATGGGTTCCCACGTGTTGGTTCCGGGGCCCCATAGTAGGGAAAACAAGAACAGATCACTGCCTTCTTAAAAGCATGTCGTAAGAGTCGACTTATTGGAAGCCTTATTTGAAGTCGGAGTTCATCTGCCTGAGAGGCAAGGAACCAACCGTCTGCATTCAAGTGAATCAGATCTGTAAAACTGAGGTTATGGAGCAGGACTGCAGTCCAGGGGTAGATGAACAGCCAGAACTTTCCACCAGCTGGTGAACGCAAAGAAGAAGAATTAGTGTTTTGATGATGACAAAAATGTCAGAAATCTGTTGTATATAACTGCGTGATTTGTGAACGCTTTTTTTTCTGTTCAATTAAAAAAGAATTTGAAGTGACTAAAGAAATTGCCATAGCTATATATATATTTGTCCATATATATGTTCCAGAATTATTTCAGCTCTGAACTAGATATTATTGCATGACAATACTGAGGAAAAGTTGGTAAAAACATTGGAATGCCAGATTTGGGCTAGAAATTAAGTTTCATAGTATTTTTGTAATATTCCTTTATTATCATTTGTGGCTAATTGTGACTGTTCCCATTACAGCCAATTAGAAATAAAGGACTTAGTAACATTTATATATTATGTTATATGGGTGTTCTTCACAAAACAAGAACTCTTACAGAGACATCCAGTTGAAAGTTCTGGTTGTTCATCCACTTCTGGACTTAAGTCTTGTTTCAGAACTTGGATTTTTGCATCCGCATCCATTTTAAGATTCTAGCTTATCTGTACACATACTGTTATTTCTTTGTCTCTCGGGTAGATGCACTCTGACTTTGAATGAAACCCCCAATTAGTCGACTCTTACAACATGCCTGTTAGAGAGGCAATGGGTCTATTTTCACCCCCTCCCCCCTCCCCACAAGAGGTCCAGGAACCCATACAAAGGCTGCATATTATATTTTTGAAACAGATCCGACTCAGATCAGCTTCATCTGGCTACTGTAGTTGATCATTACCTTCTCGTATGGATAGCCTGCATTATCTTCATCATGTGAACCATTTGAAGCATCTTAATTGTCAATTGAACGGTAAAATGAATCACTCCTTTATAGTCATTTGGATGATGTGGTGAATCATCATATGAATAGTGTGGTGCATTATCGTGAATTCTCTACATTATCTCCATTATTTGAATGGTGAAGGGCTACACCCTTGCAATTGTTTGGAGATTCTGGTGAATCATCATTAGAGAAATGTGCATCGTCTGCATTATCACGTGGATGGTGTAGAAAGTTTGTGCTGTTCATTTACTGTTGGCAAGACTGTTAAAGGATTGGCACAGTGATTGATGGGGTTGGCAGATCTTGTTGATAAATAACAGGTCATGGTTTTTGTTATGTAAGTATGCCTTCTGCTGTGTTAACAGAACCATATAAACAAGCTCAGTCTTTGCCCTTTATACAAATTTGTCATTTAAAGAATGCACATTATTTGTTAATAAAAACTTGCTCAAAATAAATGTGTGGTGTGAGATGAACACTGTCCATATTCCACAGCTGCAGGTTCGCACGCACACACATACACACACACACAGAGAGAGAGAGAGAGATGTACTGATCAACATTCATGATAAAATAGGACACACTTGATATTTTAATAAAGTTAGTATTATTATGTACGGTTTGTAATCTCTCTATTCCACTTTTCATTGATGTGTTCCCCCACACATTTCCTGTCTTTTCATGGTTTTGACAAATGAAATTGGGAAGGAAGAGAATAAAGAAAAGGTTAAATACTGCTGATGATAAATGCACACAACTTCTATTCACCCTTCTGAACCTAGACACTTAAAAAAAAAAAAGCCATAACCCATTAAAATTTCAAAAAAAATCTGTAATTTATCTGCATTTTCTTGCCTTATTAAGAAAAATATATATAAAGGGTAATCAATACGCTGTAACTAAGTGAAGCATTAAATGCACTACGTCCTTCGGGGCCTAAAAACACCCACAGAAAACGCACATTTATCAGTTGACACATGCTGGGACTTCTGTCACTGGGGCTTATGGGAAAATATGACATCATTTTGCTTTATAAAAGCCATTTAACTCAAAGGACCCCCCACCCCCTCCATCCCAGCCAAGTGCTACTGTTAGTTAATATATTCATATCCTGACCTCTTAATCATTTGTGCAGGGGGGTGAACTTGGCCTGTTGCATTAGCTGTGCATCTTGTAAACAAGTCACTTCAGGAAAGTGGGGAAATGTGTCATTTATGGTGAATTGGCTGTAAGCAGAAGTGTCAGTTTTTCAGTTTACTGGGATAAAGGTTTAAGTTAGGTGCTTATCCTTTACAAGATGTTCCTACCTTCAAGCATTTGAAAAAAAAAAAGAATATTTTTTTAATTAAGTGTTAAGCAAATTTGACACTGAATGGTTTGCCAATGCTTTTGCACAGTTAGTACTCCATACCACTGTTGAAAAATTGTTTTGCTATATCACCTGCAGCTGGAATCCAATGGCATATTTTGGAATTGTGAAGTGCATTTGCAACACCTATGCCTCAGATCTTGATGGTTCTTTAAGTGGCTAAAAGTAATAAATTCCACCATAATAAATTTATCACTCAACCCTTCAAAGCCATAAGCTGTGCAATGACATTATAATAAACATTATGTTGATTTTAATACAAAATCCATGAAGTCTGTTCTTCATGATTGCAGCAACTCTCCTTGGGCTCAGGTCGCATACAGCCTGCTCGGGCATAATGACAGATAGTTTAACATAATCCTGAACACGAACAAGAAACGCTGGAAATGTCACACCGTTGCTAGGAAATGTTTACTGGTTCCAACAACTGTTCGCCCCCCTTAATGCACCAGAGATATAAACATCTAGGGGGAGGTCGGGCCAAATCAGCCACATACAAAAGCATCAACACTGTTAGCGTTACCTTCATAGGATGATCAAACACAGCACTTTCAACCTTAGACACTTCAAGAGCTACCAAACATACACCTGAGCAAAAACTCTCATCTCACAGCAGACAATAACTAAGCCATTTGTACAGAACTGGATAGTCAGGTTTTTCTGCTCATGTTGGGTAACACTATCTCACTCACTCTGAAGATTCACTCAACTCTCTTTCTTCAAGTGCCACAGGACCCAGCTTTCTTAACATCAGAAACAAAACTAAATCTTCTCATTCTTTCCAAGTTTAAATAGCCTATTTCCCTCACAGGTTCTCATACGTTCCACACATGATTCATGCTTTTCTCATCTGGCATGCTTCAGCCAACCTGCACAGATACCTCAAGTTATCCTTTACTTGATCTGTTCATGCATACATTATACTTTGTACTCAATACCATTTAACAGATTCAGAAAAAAATTTATGCATAGTATTTAACCTCATTTATAAATGATAAGAACATTCATTAACAACAAGAAAAAGATTCATTACAATGAGACTGAATTTATTGCATCGATAAAATCAAGTCATTGTTACAGCATTGTATAATAAAAGGTGGAAGACATAAAATTTAACTAAAGTGAAGCCATACGGATGTAACATAAGTACAATAAAAATCCCTGTCATGATGCATTTAATGAATGAGATTTTCGGCTTTTGTCACCAAATGTTCTGAAATATGACTCACTGACAAATATTTTGCCTCTAGACTGAGCAACATTCTATTACAAAAGACAATAATGGTAAGAGTATGAATAACAGGCACAATATCCATCCTCTTGGTCAGTTACAACAGCTAATCACTGTCACAAACAAATTATTTATTTTGTGATTGGAAGTTGGGAGGGGAATTTAACCTGTATTTCATATGCAGAAGCAGCATATGCAAATAAAGTGCATGAACAATTTTTATTCACTACAAATAAATTTGCATTATAATAACAATAAAACTAAGCATTACTAAAGATACACAATTTTCAGATTCATAATTATGTATAACTTAGCAACAAGAGATAAAAACATGTATGTATCATATCCAATAAAGCTTTGGTTTTTCACATGCTGTCATGGTTTGTCTAACTACAACTAGAGATCAAATCATGTTTAAGTCAGCTAAACAATACAAAGAAATCAGTTAACGGTATCATCATTAAATATCACACACTTAATTAGCAAAGACTCAACAAACAGACTTTGAGTGATTTCGTCTTCTTAGTGTTCACTGTAAACTGCGGTGGAGAGTTCTGGTTGTTTGCCCACCTCTAGACTTTCATCTGGTTCCAAAACTTGAATTCTGCATGCATATCGATTTTAAAGACCTGGTTTACTTGTAGCAGACTGTTGGTTCCTCGCTGCTTAGGCAGAGAGTTTCCGGCTTCGGAGGAAAAGTCCCCAATTAGTCATGTTTACGACATCCTTGTTAGGGAAGCAGTGGGTCTATTCTTTGCCCCCTAAATTGGGGTCCCAGAATCCACACAGGGAACTCCCCTAATTAATCTAAACAACATTTATGAAGAAATATCATAATTCAACTGTCTACTTGTACATAAAAAATTATAGCAGAAAGCATGGTACTAAAAAGAAGGGGCAGGGGCCAACCGACACGAAGATGGGCACAGGATATAAGTGACTCCTTGAGTATGAAAGTACATGAGGCGGGAGAACTGGGGAGAGACAGTTTCTTTCAGGCAGCCTCTGATGAGAGCGACGCTCTGCAAAGGATCTGCTACATGATGATGATGATGACCTGCACATTAATGTCCTCTTTACTGTACAATAAATGTGACTTCAATATCTTCATAAATATCAAATCATAAATAAATTTTGTGCACTTAAAAACTTTACAAACACCATGTTATAATTCTATAAATTATCCAAATCCCTTCAGGACCAGAACTGCAGCACACTGCTGGCAAAGTCAGCCAGCTAAACAAGCCAGTCTAAAAAAGTACTACCTCCCATAACTAATTCCTCTAATGAATGTGTAGTAGTTTTCATGTACTTCTTTTTAGACTTTCTTTTTTCTGTCTTTATGACTGCACTTACTCCTCTGAATAATTTAAGTGACATTTGTTTTTCTGTCGACTCTTAGTATTATCTATTTTCGTTAAAACACTATTTTAGTTACATAAATTTATATGTTAAGTATGCACCTCTCTCTTGATAGGAATCTATCTCAAATTTTTTAAATGTCACCATTCATTGTCCTTATGGAGGTAAAGATGTGGTACCAGTCACTTTGAAAACTGCTATTTTATGCTTAAAGGTTGATTGAAATCTCAGAGAGATGTAAGCCTGTCAACTCTTCGCCACATTTGTGTTTACTGATTGCTCACATTATTTTGTATGCAATTAAATACTGTTTTGGTCTATAAATGGAACTGTTATAATTTTGTGTGTGAACTGCATAAAAGTGCCAATTTTTTTTTAAAGCAATATTTTTACAAGAAAACCAGAATTTAAAATCTTTGGTATTTCTTTTTAGGTCACCGGGCATAGGGTTAAAGAGATAAAATACACCACATAAACCAGTTTAACCTGCCATTTTTATAGGATTTTTCAAGACATGAGGTCATTTTTAGCCAGAGGATTTAGGGCTGCATGGCTTGTGCAGGTGCCACAAACTGTGCAGGTTAGGATTGTACTTCTGCCCAAAAAAGAAATTTCCATCCCTTTTCAGAGGGTTTAAACCCAAATCTTCCAAAATGATAATGAATCATTTTAATCACTCTGCCAGATGCTCCTCTCTAAAGACTGACTTGGTTAATGCATCTATACCCTGAATGCTCAACACCCAGTTTTCTAAGGCTGTAATTCTGCAATCAGTATTCTTTATCAACATCTTTGACACAATACTGTAAAGTTATTATACAAGGCGTTCAGGTTGTCCGATTCCTTGAAAGACAATGTAACTAACAATCTCATTCACACACATATACTCTTCATAAACTCTCTAAGTATGAAAATTAAGCACATTATTAATTCATCATGGTAAACAGTTTAAAAACCAGTATAAAAAGCCACCCAAGCTTTAACGGAGAAAAATTATGTCTTCATTAAAAATAAAGTAAATGGGCACATGGTGCTAGCTCCACATAAACCAGTGGTTTTTAATTTTTTTTAAGTTCCCACCCCCCCCCCCCCCCCCCCCCCCTCCCCACCTATATGGCAATGACACCTTTCCTCCAGTTATAAAATATAAATCTGATTTAAAGGGGGGCAGAAAGAAAACCCCAATCACTATTAGCAAAAACTGCTATTCTATTCATTCTATATTTTTTTAAGGAGAGATGTAAAAACTATTCATGAAAAATAAATTGCCCTTGGGTTTTTGATTTGAAAAGTGTTTGAAAATATACTTTATTTGAAACTAAACTGAGACGGAAAATATAACAGATTATTACAAGAACAAATGCTATTTTGAAACTGCTTGACGCCCCCTCTGAAACTACCTTACATCGCACATCAGGCATAAGGTGATAGGCCAACTGACACTCGATGAGTGTTGTGGCCCCCTTTACTACCCAGGACATTTCTTGGTACTCATCTTAGTCTAGGTCAACCTTGGAGCCAAGGTCAACTGTAATCAAATGTGCCTTAACATCGACTGAACAGAGGACCTTCAACCTGGCAGGTGTAATTTGCACCTAGAATTAAAAGTGGCCATTTGCACCTATAAATAAGAGCGAACACTTAGACATATTTAAAAGTGGTAGCTTGCCCCTACCTATATGTATTTAGGATAAGGACATTGTTAACAAACTAGATAAAAACATTAAACAATGATATTTTATGTATGTGAAAAGTCAGGAATGGAAAGTCTGCAAGACATGGGAGAGGGGAAGTAACAGATAGTTAGGGGGGAGGAGTGAGAAAGAAAAAAGAGAGAGATAGATTCTCCTGGAATGGAAAAGAGACGTAAAACAATAAGTATACAATGTAAATAACATCACTCCTGATACCTCTTCAAAACATGATACTGAAAGGCAGAACAGTACTAAGAAGAAGAAGAAGACGGTGTAACATAATATATATTTTCATTATCTGTGGTATATTTAAAAACTTAAACCAACCACCTATATAACATTTTCTGGTATTATCTAGACAGTTAGTCTATGGCTCATGTCAACATAAGCTCATGGACCTGGGTGTCTTGACTGCAGAATGTACAATCACGTAAGCCACCATATGACAGTCTGGATGGAGTTCCCTGGGCTTGTTACTTGTTTGTATCCAGTGAGGCCATCGTCTAAAGCCAGATCAACAGCATCAAAGCCCCTGTAGATTCAGAAGTTTCATTTACATGTCACATAACTCTTTCAGTGCCGAACTCATCCTAAGTTTCTTTGCTATTCAAAGGATGAAATAACGTTCCTGCTCTCTGCTTCTATAGACAAACGCAATATTAACCCTTTCTATATGGATGTCGGCATATGTGGACTGGGTGTTGCGAACCTGCTTCATAATGCCGGGGTGCTGGGTTCAATCCTAGCTGCGGGCCTTGCGTTGGTTTCGACAGTAGTATCGAGAAGCTGTTAACCAGTGCCAGTAGAATTTGTGCTTGCTGCTGAAGATGGGGATGGAGCAGTCATGGGAATGTGCTGAGGGCTAAGTATAATATCCATTTTGAACTCATAAAACTTAATGTTTAATGTGGTCATTATTATGCTAGCCACCTTTACAAGTCACTGAAAGAAAATATTTATCTGCCAAGAAATTCTAACTCATGACCAATGTGCCAGTAGGAAAGAATAACTGTCACTGAGCTACCAGATCTTCCTGTAGAATCATGCCATTATCATCAAGTACCTTGCTGACAGGCATAGGCAATCATGCTTCTCTACAACTCGTGCTCTCTGACAGAAGGTATCACTTTGTGTACTGACACCCTTTCATGCCATGACAAAAAGCTATTAAGAATCTTCACACACTGTCTTCCCCTATCTCTCTTTCCATAGATCATTCCAGTTGTCACAACATATTTCAGTTTTTTTTCTCTCAACGATGACTGCCTCTGAGAACTGACTGAAAGTACTTGAGACAAAAGGTTGTGGATAGACATGACTACCAGCACCACATGGCATGAACTTTATTTAAGAAGAAGAAAATGCAAGCTAAAAGAGATCTAGAGTTTGTATTTAGAATTTTATATTGAAAACAATTATTACTTGTATAAATGGAAAATATCATGGCTGTGCTCATAAAAGGAACGATTCATTGCTAACAGTGATTGAGTGAGTGATTCTTTGAGTATGATCCAGCGGGTCGAGGCAGGCTGCTTACACAGACAGTGGCTTGAGTCATTGCAAAATTATCCTGTGTGTGCAGTTACTTTCATATTCGTCCCAGGGTATACAGGCGTTGTTGGTAATGAGAGAGCTGATAGACTGGCAGGCACTGCATTAATTGAAGATGGCCAGCCCATGGATCACGCAGACATTGTCATTGCCCTTAGAGAGATAGGACGTTCTGAGGATTTCAGAAGCAACATGTCCACATCACTCCTAAGAATACGTGAATTTGGAGTAAAGATCGGCACAACAAAGCATGAGAAGCACATTGGACGCACACAAAGTCTTGTTAACCAACATAGGACTGGTACTATTAACCACACGACGCTGATGAATATGTTGAGAAGGGAATCTGAGCGCCTATGGATGTATCTGGAGTGCTGTGAAGATAATCTAACTCATAACTCATAATTGCTAACAGAGAGAAAAGCTGGCATTGTTTTCAGTAAGAAAGTATTTACTTACAAATTGTTAAAAAAAAATTACTTACAAATTGTGAATAACAACAGCAATTGATTTATCTGGTCTGAGAAATGCTGTGAGTTCAATAAGGGAATTGTCTTTCTGTGCCTGAGTTCCAATCCAAATTGAGCCTGGTACCAAATATTTGCTGCAGACAGAACATATTTCAGTGTCACATAAACTAAGCTTAATTGTACACTACAATTCTGAAATACTATACAAGGTCCGACAATAAGGTATTGAGACTGATTTTATTACGCTAAGACAAAAATGCCATCTATGATTCACATCATGAAATCCAAAGCGGCAACCTTCATCTATGATCTGGCAACTTTTTATCACCGCCCGATAAGCAGACAACAAACAAGCCGCCATTTTGTTTACCTAGTCAGAGGTGCATTGTTATATAATCAGCAAGGAGCAAAAAAGCTGACGTTAAATTCTGTTTAAAACTCGGAAAAGTGCCATTGGAACAGGTGAATTGATTCGACAAATTTATCGGGGTAATTGTTTATCTCGTGCACAGATCTTCAGCTGGTATTCATGATTTAAAAGTGGTGTGGAAATGATTACTAATGCAACTAGACCTTGACACCCAATTTCTGTTCGCAATGTGGAACTCATTGCAAAATTCAGAGAACGGATAAAAGAAGATCGTTGTTCGACTGTGAGGATGATGGTAGCTAAATTTGGTGTACATACAGAGACTGTCGGCTCTGTGGCTAAGTCCATGCGAATGCTTCGTAATGCCGGGGTATCGGGTTCAATCCCAGCTGAGGTCCAAAAGCCTTGTGTTGTTTTCGACAGTGGTATCAGGGGGCCGACCGTCCAGAAAGCAATGGCAAAATACTGGACGTAAATTTGCCTAGAGAAACCACACAACAGCCAGGGGCTGCTGGGATTGGTTCTGCAACGTCCTGTAAAGGATATGCAACTAATCTATACAGAGACTATATTTGTAAAATTTTAGAAGAAGATTTGGGCAATAAAAAAATTGCTTGCCCGTTTGTATTCAACACCTGGCAATCTGTCTCTTCCTCATGACAATGCACCGGTTCAAAGGGCGGTAGTTGTACAGGCATTTTTGGCCTAAAAACAAGTGTGTGTTCTCAACCATACACCCTATTCCTCAGGATTTGTCTCCCTGTGACTATTTTCTATTCCCAAAATTAAAGTTGCCACTGAAAGGACGCTTCTTTGACAATATTTAAGACATTCAAAGGTGTCTAACATCGACTTTAAGGGCCATTACAACAAAAAAGGTTGTTACAGTGTTTGTTAGAAATGCCACTTGCTGTATCATGCACAGGGGGCTTACTTTGAATAAAATATAGGTTATATCTTTAACTGTTGATTATTTTAATTTTTATGGAATTAGTCTTATTACTTAATTGTCGGAACTTGTACATTCTAAAACTTATTTTTCATCTGGTGCCTGATCTCATAACAAACATAACAAACCAGAAAAGAAAATTAGTATTGATTGTCAAATAATTCTTATGTCCTTTTCAGGATGACATTTTTTTGTTATTTGAAGCCCTACCCTGGCTCTTGCCAGGGGCTGCAATATAGGCAGGCCATAAATATGGCCAATTGTCTGAACGCGGTTTCTGGGACCTCTACACAGTGATACTCATCCACATGGTGGCACTTTGTGTCATCGGATGTTTATCGCTTGTGTGATGTCCTAATGGGGTAGAAAGTCAGTCAGTCAGTATTGATTGTTAAACAAATATATTATGTTTATCTTCTCGTCCTTATTAGGATGAAATTTTTCATCATTTGAAGCCCTACTCTGGCTCTTGCCAGAGGCCGCAATATAGCCCGGCCATAAATATGGTCTAATGGCTGAATTCGGTTTCTAGGACCTCTCCACGGCGATCCTCACCCACATGGTGGCACATTGTGTCATCGGGTATTTATCACTTGTGTGATGTCCTGGTGGGGTAGAAAGTCAGTCAGTCAGTACTGATGGAAACACCATGCCTAAATTGCACACAAAGACAGCAAACCAAATAGTTTACCCACTTAGAAAGAATGCCTTGTGGCCATACAAGACATATTCTAAAAGAAGAGAAGGATACAGAATGTGAGGCAGACCAAGAAAAAATGGAAAGATAATATCAGAGAAACTCTTCAACAGTCTGATGTTTTTAAGGTCGAGGCGGCCAGTAGAGAAAGGCGCAAAACTTAATACCTCCCTCAACATCCGAAGTGGTTAAAGAGAAAGTGAAGCAGAAGAAGAAGCCTGGTCTACAGAAGATATAAGTCAAATACTCTGTTTTTTTGCTGCCCAGCTGTTAAACTGCATACACCTTTTTTTTTAAAAATGAGTTATGACTAAGAACTGATTTTATAGCACTCAGGACATTTCTAAACTGCTCAATTTCACCTTCAGCAGCAAGCACAGAGTTCCAATTCTGATGGTACCAGTAACAGTCTGATTGTATGTCTGTCTAGCTTCTCCACTGATGCTGAGCATTGGCCAGATTCCCTGGTCACTCCTTGCCACACTATTCACTTCACACCATGATTGTTCCTCAACAACTGTTTACAATCTCCCAAAGGGCAACTGTCTAGCTTGTCGTTTATCAATTTACCAGCAAGTTGTCCAGAGCCGGCCAAACTACCTCTTTATTTCCCAACACACATGTACACTTTTCAGAAGATATCCAAAAGATGCTAACTACCCAGGATCTCTGAAGCAAAGCTTGCACACATATTTATATGTATTTCTCTGCTTCTTTTGCCTATATAAGACAATTTCTCTATTCAACCACTCAGACTAATATGCGCTATAAATTTCATTGTTTTAAAAACATATTCCTAATCTTTAGATACAGATACAGGTTACATTCTTCTTCTTCTCAATTTTCACCAGCTGTAAACTCAGGCGGATAGTTCTGGTTGTTCGTACTCTTCTGGACATTGGTCTTGTTCCAGAATTTGAGTTTTGCGTGCAAATCCATTTTACAGGCCTACCTTATTTGTACGCAGACTGATAGTTCTTAGCCTCTTCAGCAGATTCACTCTGACTTCTAAGTAAAAAACCCTAATTAATCACATTTTATGACAGGCTTGTTGAAGAAAAAAAAAGGATGGGGGAAAAAGAGGGGGAGGGGGGTTGGGGAGAACAGGGTCGATTATTGTTTCCTCCAAAATGGGCCCCAAAAACTAATATGGGGACCTTGGCAGGTTAAAAACTCAGACTACAATGACAAACTGTAATACCTGAAATGTCCTAGGGCATAATACATTGGCTGCTTGTAAAACTCTTTATTTGAAGCATTCACAATGATTGGGCTGTCAACAAAGTTGGATACCCAGTTGGGGCCCCCTTGCAAGTCCAGGGCTAGGTTCCAGTCAGTCCAGCCGGTCACCCAGCTATTCAAATCCTATAATTAATATAAAATATATCCTGCATTTTAAATGCAATCAGAATATCATCTGAATATCAACATTAATGTGAGTGCAACAATATATACTGTGTTTCTCCAAGTACAAGATGATTCCATGCTTAAGATACACCTTGATTTTGGGACCAGAAATTTTTAGGAAAAATAATATGATTACATAGTTGTTGCATGTTTATTTATCATAGAATCCAGAAAACTCATCACTGTCGAAACTCTCATCAACACGATAGTTCTTTAGCTTGTCCTCGTCTGTGTCTGATGAAAAATCACTGTCTTCATATACTGCATCATTCAGCATGCTTTTTCAGTGACTCGATGAGTATGCTCAGAAAGATAGAGAAGGGCTGGGTCCGAAGGCAATGGTTGGTGGCTCTATAGAATTCAGGGCTGTCAAGGATTAATTTCATTTTCGTGCCTGGACATGCGGGGGTACAAGAAAACGAGCAAGCTGATAGGCTTGCAGGTAAGGCTACTGTGAAAGCCGGATAAGCCTTGGACCAGGCTGATTTGCTGAATGTGCTAAGAGAGTTAAGACGTCTGCGTGAATCAACTGAGAACTGTGAACCTGCAACCATGGTCAGAGACTGCAAAAACAACATGTTAAATGGGGTGTCGCCAAACAAGAACACTACTTGGGTAGCCAAAGAAGAATAATAAACCAACACAGAAGTGGTGTCGTTAGCCGCTACACACAGCGGGATTTACTAAGGAGGGGATCACGCACTTACGGACTGAGTGGTTCGATATGCAATGAGGATAATCTGTCGACTAACTAACTAACTAGCTGCCTCATTCTCAGTTTCATCTCGGCCATTTTAAATGCCACCTTCTTAAATGACTTGAAACAATCTTGAGTCTTCATTTTATCCCATGATCCTTTCACCCAAGTACACAATTCTCCTATGGTTGGTTTTTTTACACTGCCTGCTGGTGTCCAGTTACCCCCAGAAGACTTAATCCATTGGTTCCAATTGTCTCTCAAATCTACAAGCCTGCAGAGTAACAATCTTCTCTCGCATAAGACGTGCACTGTTTTTAAGTCGTACATTTCTGGAAAACAAGCGCATCTTATACTTGGAGAAAACCGGTATACATTTTATCATATAACAGAGAGTTCTGTCAGGTCTGTGGTTAGTACCCTGATTAATATCTTAGTGACCAGTTCAGCTTCCAGAAATGGCAGATTATGTCTGCTTTTTCTTCTGCTCTTTCTTCATTTACCATAGTAAAGCGCTGGGGGAAATTCAGTGTTTTCTTGACCTATTGCAGAGTTCCATTCTGACAAACAGGTCAGAAGTCTAACTGGTCATAAGTCAAATTAATTTTTTTTACAACTCTTATTTTCATCAAAAGTAGTTGTAAAAAGTGTATATAAAACACACTAATTCAACCTACGTACGTACAATTATTGTACATAATGTGAAAAATATATAATATGTACTTGACAGCATCAGTTCAAGGAACTTTTTGATACCACCAATGTAGTTATCTTTCTTTCTACTATTTTTTCTACTATCTTTCTACTGTTTTTTTTAATTCATTTTTGTTTGTGTGTTTGTAAGTACGGATGGTCGTAATTCACAGAGATCGTAAGTCAGGAAGCAGGCATATGGATCTTCCTTGTGTTTTGCAATGTGCTTTGCAAACCACTCTTCATTTCTTTTAAGAGTCTTTTTAATATTGTCATTTAGAAAATAATTTTAGTATCAACATAAGTTATACATTATTATTTATTCTAATTAGCAGAGGCCTAGATAGTTATTTACTGTCTAAGGAGAACGGCGCTGCGAGGAGTTACCAGGGGATCTGGCTAACGCTCAACATTCAGAGGAAGGATGAGACAGATATACAATCAGATGGTTACTGGTACCATCGGAATTGGAACTCTTTGCTTGCTGGTAAAGATGGGGACTGAGAACTTATGGGAGTATCCTGAGTGCTGTGATGTCGATTCTTAATTCAACATTTATTTTATTTCTATTAAAGGAAAGCTTGAAAACTGCAGTCATTTATGGCCTCTTTATGATTTCTAAAGATTTGGCCAAACAATCTGTAAAATGCACAGCATGCATACATGAATACATATTTTTTAACACTAATTAGAGAAGATTAGACATCTTAACTCCTACTTCAAAATCAATGAGAAGAGTATAACATTTTCAGGTCCTTTATTAATAAAAGATTCGATTACAGATGTGGGCCATGCGCCTTGCAGTGGTATCAAAAAGCAGACCGTCCAGGAAGCAATGGCAAACTACTGGATGTAAATTTGCCTAGAAAAACCACAACAGCCAAAAAATGCTGGAGTTAGTTCTGCAATGTCCTGTAAAGAATTCACAACTAACTTTAACTTCACTAACAAAAACATTTAAAAAAAAAAATAACATTCACTCTCAAAAATCATCTTCACAACATAGTGAACTTACCACAATGATGTCATGTGCATAGGATGCAGCCCTTTCCCAGGCTCCTAAATCAACTTTCTGCTCCCAAGGCATCGACCCCTCACATGCTTCAGTGCCAAACAAGAACTTGTCAGGAAAAGAATTGTGAGCCTCCTCGAGAAGACTTGCAGGAATGAAACTGTCAATGTACCAGTGGATGGCTATTCCTGACACATACTTGCTAGCCTCTGGGTCAGACAGGACCTGGTTACAATAAATGTAATGATTGACATGTGAAGATCATAAGAACTAATTAAATCTAATAAAAACAAACAAACAAAACACAAATTATCCTTGCAAACACACAAAGCAGATGATCTTGGATTTTAAATTAACAAAATTTTTTTCTTTCTAAGAACTACCTTTAATATAACATGATAAACAGATCAGCATTAACTGACTGGCGCTTATAGAAATAGAGATAAGAGGACATACGAAACATCATTAAAAACTATAATTATAAAACTATAATATGTGACCTCTGAATGGTGATGGCGCCTTACTGAGGGAAAAAATGTAGTTCAACCCATGACCCATTTGTCACCACTTTTCTATCTTCAAAAGCAGTAAACACTTCGGTCTGAGGGGGGTTCAACAAAGATACAATGAGACAGAAGTAGCTGAACTAATAATTCAGATACATATATAACAACTGTATGCAACAGAAGGCAGCTGAAACATTATATTATCTTTGGAAAGGCAAATGAATGCAGGATGGGTGAAATGTTGTTCAGGGTATGTTGTTCGGTATGGAACAGTTGGAAAATATGTCATTACTGGCCAGGTCTATCATACACCTTAACCAACAACTGTGGAATAATGTAACTGCTTAAAAAAAAAAAAAAAGGCTACTGAAAGCAGAACACTATGCACAACTATCAGAAAACAATGTTCTCTGGCTTTATGATAAGCATGAAAACATCATGAGAGAAAAGACCACAGCTAGTGCATGCTGACTCTGAAAAATGACCCTGAATGGTTTAAAACAGTGATAGAGAGGAACAACATCAACAAAATTGATTCAGAACACCAAAGAGAGAGCTACAGAGAGATCAGAAAACTAGGCTACATGATAAACACAACATTATCCAAACAGCATGGTTCACCCTGCAAGAGTTCAAGCAAGCAGACTAATACATCAGACTAATGGCATAAGCCTGCAGAGTAAGAATCTTCTCTTGCATAAAAACACTAATGAATCAGAACATATCTACACTCTTGGGGCACATAGCAATGGTTACTGAGCTAAGCTTTATTCTTGCTTTCAACCAGTTGTTTAATTGTTGCCACATGTGGATGCTCATCATGAGATCCACGTGAACATCAACATCAGACACAGATATCATGAGTTGCCACTAAATTCCATAATATAACTGTGCAACAGTTGAGAAGGCCAGAGCTCTCCATTCATCCATTCTGCCCTTACTGCAGCACATTCTTCTATAAAACAGGCTCTGGCATAACAGCTTTATTTTTGAACCCATGTTAATTTAGAAGATACACATACATATATATTTTCCTCCACATTCTGGGCGAAGATGTGTGTCAATAAAGAAAAACTGCCTGAAAATATGAGATGAAATGTGAATCACAAGTAAGAATCACTGAAATAAAATTCCCCATGATGGCTCAGATGCCAAATTTATTATGTTGGACCTGGAGAGGAAAGAGGGTGGGTGGGGGGGGGGGGGGGGGGGGGGGGGGGGGTAAAATATATCTACAGCCTTTCAACTCTTTCAGCCCCTCTTTCAGTGCATCATGTATAGATGGATAACTACCCAGTTGAGCTGAGTTGAGCTGATTCAAAAACCGACATCACAGAACCCGGGGTACTTCCATAAGCGCTTTGTCATCATCTTCAGCATCCAGTGAAGAGTTCCGATACAAATGATGCCAGTAGCATTTGGACTAAACGTCCGTCTTGCCTTTCCTCTGAGCCTCGAGAATCTGCCAGAACCTCTCGTCACTCCCCCCTTCATCAATATCACCAGACTGTTGTAATCCATCTGCTCCCCCGAACTGTACACGCTCTCCCACAAGGCACTAACCATGTCTGCCTTTTCATGCATCAGTATTCTACTAAGTTATGCAGAACCAGCCAGACAATTATCCAGAAACCTATTTAGGGTGTGATGTGTATCTGTTTTAAATTTACCACTGACCGGTATAAAAACATGAACTGGAGAATGGTAATGTTCTTTTCAGTTGTTGTGTGTTCAGTTCAAATATATGGAGTGCATTCATTCAATTTGCTGAGCTTTTAACAGTTAAAATTAATATAGAAAAAAATTGGAAATGCCCCAAACACAGTTTACAGCTTAAGAAATCTCTGATTTAAATAAAACACCATGCTGATCAAATTTATATAAGTTCAGATGAGGAAAGTAGTAAAGATGACTTGTCTCACTCATTTATAAAGTCAAGCTTTGATCATGTACAGCTCTTTTATTATAAATCAGACAAAGATATCACACTATCCTTATTATTTAGGAACATAGCTGCAACAACAACAAAAACCAGCAATTTGAGTCTTAAATATAGTTATTTTCATGTGAAGATACTTACTACTTTGTAAAGTTTTTTTAACCAAATAATGGTACTGCATGTTTACATACCAAAAATGTATCCAGAAAGAAAACAGACTGTATTTAAATTTTATTTTTACATTTCTAAGTGGTTCGGGTTGATATGTCATTCACTCCGATATATTTATCAAGTTTCCCTTAGGCATCATGGAAGTAAATGGAAACATTATTATTTTGTTTGACTAACTTCTCTGAACATGTTGTTTGTTTATCTACTAATTTTTAACTACAAACGCAATTATCTGTTATAGGAGTATTTTAATATTATTGCTTGCTATTCCCTTGTCCCTTTGATGACTAGAGGGCCATTTAGGGCATGCATGGAGTCACACACATGAACACACTGACACTCCCACAGACACAGACACAGACATAGACACTGACACACATACACAGAGACACACACACTCACGCAGACAAAAATACAAACACACACACAGACATAAAAACACACACAGACACACAGGAGACATATATACATACATGCTCACACACTGACACACACACATATGCAGACACATGCACTCACACAAACATGCAGCCACATAGACACACATGCAGTCAAACACACACACAAAAATACAAACTTGCAAACACATACTGACACCCACACAGACAAACACACCCAGACACACACACTCAGACAAACACATAGAAATACACACGCAGACACATAAACATAGCACACACAGACATATACTCTGACATGCAGACACATACACATCAAAGAGGCACACACAAACACAGTGACACACACAAAGACACCCATTTACAAATACACTAGACATCATCATCATCATCAGGTGCCTTGCCGACTTTCGTGGGCGATCATTCATCTCCATAATCTGCGATCTCCTGCAGCATGTATCAGTTCGTGTGCCGACACACTTCCATGCCATGCAACAAGACTGTCAAGCATCTTCCTCTATCTCTCCTTCCCTATATCTTTCCAGTGGTCACAACATGTTCTATTTTCCCTCTTCTCATAACATGGCCGAAAATGATGACTGTCTCCTTCTGATGTCTGTGATAAGTTGTCTTCGGGCTCCCGCCTCTTTCAAAACCTCTTGGTTGCTCTTTTTGGCTGTCCAAGGTATTCTAAGCTATCTTCTGTAAAACCACATCTCTGAGGCCTCCAGACACTAGACATACACGCACACAATACACACAGAGACACACACATAGACTGCTGTTAGTAGGATTTGATTTAATTAACCGGAAAAAGTAGTTTGGAGTATTTTGAGATAAAATTTTATGAATAAATTTGGCTTTGTTAAAAATTAAACATTTACTAAATGGCAATAGTCTTAGATGGTTACAGAGATTATTTTTTTTTCAATATGTTTTCTATCTGAAACCAGGCATGGTGAACGGTTTTGAAGAGAACTTAGCCTTTTAACATTGGATTTGGCTCAACCATCCTAAACTGTGGAACAATAGTCGGCATGTGTTTGGATGTAGGACGCATAGTTAGTGAGCAGGTTGTGAAAGGTGAGTAAGGGTTTGCTGAAATCAAAAGACACAAATATTGCAGCCTGGCTATAACCAGATCATAATATGCCAACCATCCTTGCAAGGGTGAAAACAGAAGAAGAAACAAATAAAACAGATATACTAACAGATTTGGCCCACAAGGTTACAATCAGCCTCTGATCATCAAGAATCATGAGCTTGATGTTACCAAACCCAGATTCATTCAAGGCGGGTCCAAGATCCATCTTGATAAAGTCCCGCTGCTGTGACGGGGTGAAACCCATTGCTTGGAAAGAGAAATTTGTTTGTAGACCATCCAGAGGTTCATTCTGAGCAGTTAGTCCCCAAAAAGTAATATTCCTCTTAGCGTATTCTTTTAGAAATCTGAAATAGCAAAATCATATATTTGTAAACATAAATAAATTGAATATTTCAAAAGATTACAAATATAAGATGATCAGATGAACAATGTTTCGAGTGAGACTATGTGATGAGAATTTAAGGGAAATTAATTGAGTTGTTGTGCTTCATTATTTGATATAATAGTTTAGTAATGCACGTGAGATACAGCAAAATATGCATGGCAATAAATTATACAATGTATTGTCTGTACCTGCAGAATTTAAAATCACTACAGGAAAAGATTGTTTTGAAAAGTATTATATACAATATATTCCTGTCAACTGAGCTGAGAGAGTACCTAAGAGCAAACAACCAATCCTGATGCACAGGTGTGAGTCATGGACAATCAGCTGATTAAAAAGAAATGTTGTGGAAGCTCTGACAAGTAGTTATATAGAAGAATGATGAAAACACCACCCTACTTGGCACTGTGAATACTTCTGCTTTGAAAGAGTTGACTCTGGTAGCTAAATAAGAGAATAAGAGAAGCTAGAACTTGTAAAACACTGTGTCATAAATCAGATCGCTGATTTTATTCTGAGCAGAGGAAAGAAAATACTGATGAAGGTAGTTCATTCATTCATTATCCTGCTGTGTGCCATTACATGCCAGATAGGGCTCACAGTCTATTCCTCCCTTTCATTCTATTCTGAGCGATCAGTTTAATATTGCTGACAGAATCCAGTCCAGTAGCTTTGGCCTCTCTCATCAATGTCTGTCTTAGGGTTTCCTTTGGGTGCCCTTTCCACCTTAATCCCTTTATTTCCCATTTCAATGCCTGTCGGTTGATACTCTGATGGTTTCTTCTCTGTCTTATAACTATTAATATTAGTGGTTGGTTGCCCAGACATTTCTCTGATTTTTTCACTACTTCTGAATTCATCCCATGTTATTCTCATTATTTTCCCTCAGATTCTGGTTATTTTTAATACATTTAACTTTCGCTCCATGTCTTTAGTAGTTCTCCAAATTCCACTTGCAGCAAGCAATGATACAATGAACATAGCGGTGACTGCAGTCAAGCTGAAATACAAAAAATGATTCAACATTCTTGCATGAGAAAGAATTTTTTCTGGCTATTACAGGTTTTGCTTGACAGTGCCTAGTACACATGACTGACAGCTTTAGTGCTGGCTACAACTAAATAGTGTTTCAACATGGTTGGCATGATTATATTTACTAACAACAAATATTATTTTTTAGATATTATTTCTGAAGAAAGATAGATGTATGGCAAAGCTCACCCAACAAAAATAAAATGAAAGATGTGCAATAAACAAATGCTCGACTGTGTGTGTACGCAACCACCCCCCACTGCGTTGATATTATTCTGTAAGAAAACAATTGGGGTGTAAAATTTCTCAGCTGATAAAAAACAACTTACTAGCTTATATTTTTGTAGAGAAAATTAACAAACGTACTACGTAATCATGACATTAAAAAAATTACATGAAATGAACTTCGAGAAAACTGCACAGTACCTGACAAAATAATTGGCCCAGGTTTTGTAGTACTGGCCCCCTGGTTGACCCAGCAGTGAGCCACCTGTCATTTTACCGGAGTCTTTCATCCAGGCAGGAGCACTCCATGGACTGGCAAATAACTTGATTGGATTTGGGCTCACTTTCAGAGCTTTCTCAATGAACGGAATCTAACAGTAACAAAGCAGTGATCATTCAAATGTCACCTCTAGTGATCGAAACAGGCAAATTAATACTGAAGATTTCTTACTTGCATTAATAACTAACAAAAGAAACCAACATTTAAAAACTTCAGACATTCTAGGCCATGCAACTTAGCGAGGGTGGCCAGTTTTATTATACCCTTAAAGCCTACACAAATTCTAAAAAATAGATTTTAGTATCCAATGTTATAAGACTTGGTAGACTCAGGAGCAATACATTTTGTTAGTTTTATGAGGCAATTCCACCCCTTTAGGTTTACTGCCACAGAAATAAATCACCTCCCTCCATCTCTGTGATTGGCCTTCTTCTTCTAGTTGGTGACTCCAAGTATTTGTAGGTCTGGCTGTGGTCTCCATTCTCTTCTTGGTCTACCATGAGGTCTACTCCCATTCAAGTCTTTTGTGTACATAATTTTGTCTCCCAGCTATTCCCTCTATATGCCCATATCATTTCAGTCTACTGTCAGTTATTAGGGCTGATATAAATCAACAATTCTATAGGGCTCTAAATCAGAAGAGAAGAAGCATTTTAAATCTTTCAGAACAGGGTCATACTGGTTAAAAACTAAAACAAAAATGCTGTCTCTGCTACGATTGGACACAGGCCAGTGCACTAACCACTATGCATCAGTGACTCCATAACTTTTAAAATATTTAATTGTTTTAAAGAAGTATATGCTCAGTCAAGTATAGATGGGAATATTTTGTAAAAGTCAAAGAGCATGCCATAAGTTATGAAAAGAAACTGATAGCAGCAAAGCAATCTAGAATTTAACAAAAGAGGAATATAAAGAACAGTTAGGCAAACTTTAAAAAAAAATCAAAATAAGATACATAAAGGATGTAAAGATAATTAAGACATAAATGTAAAAGATTATTTTGGAATTATTGAAGAAAATTATAAAAGGCAGTAAATAAGAAATGAAAACAGATTTAAAAAAAAAAAATAATCAATCAAGAAATTTACCTTAAACTGATTATCCTCTGCGGCTAATGAAAACTTTGTTAAGTTGAAATCTCCAGGCGCATCATCATAGGAGTACTCTCGAGTGGAGAAATCACAGCTGGCCATTGGTACCCTTCCGACTGTGTACTCAATTCCTAGCCAATACAAACATAACATGGTTTCATCACATCACTTTTATGCAAGGTTGCAGACATGATTTACAAGCAACCTAGTTTGCAGCTGTGGCTGACAGACTATACAGAAGTATCATAGCTATCTTATAGTGACAACATCAATGTGTACACTGATCTTCTTGTTGAAATAACACAAGAAGATTCTCGGTTCAGCCCACCAAAGCAGCTGCAAAGTATCCTAATGTATTTTACAGATACTGTGCGTGTTAAACATTACCAAAACAGAAAAATAAAAAGTGGCAACATGAACATTGTTGGGTTCCCTGATAAGCACTTGTCTTGTCTGAATGTGAATGCAGCTTTCCATTAGCCTAAGAAGCAGTTTCACATACATTCTGTAATTATAACTGACTCACAGAGCATGCTGAGAACGGCAGAGACAGTATGCTCCGTGCAGAGGGGCAAGCATCGCTTCAGAGGTCCCGGGTAGCTAGCATCCTTTGGATATTTTCTCATGGTTAAGTAAGTGTGTTGGAAAATGAAAAGGAAGATAGATGGCTGGTTCTGCACCACTTCGTGGTGAACTGATGCATAACAAGCTAGATGTCGTAAGGGTTTGTTAGAAGCAAGTTAATAGTGAGTGTGGAGGCACAAAACAATCACGGTCTGGGGATAATGGTGCTGCGAACAGTGCAAAGAGTGTAGAGAAGATCTGGCCAAGGCTTAACACTCAAGATGAAGGCGAGAAGGATGTACAATAAGACTGTTATTGGTGCCATCAGAATCAGAACTCTGCACTTATGAGTGTCCCACATGTTGTGACGTCGATTCTTAATTCAACATTAAACATCCAGTATGTGAGTATGGAATACCTGTATTTGTAATGTGCTAATGAATTAAGCCGTTCGTCTCAGTGACATTTTTATAAGTTCCTAATCAACTGTAAATGTTTGCAGATAGGTTCACAGTTGAGTGTGTGAGAAGAAACATGCCACTTACAAGAAATGGCCCTGAAATACTATGCATTTATTGTGGACTTCTTAACACAAGCTGGTCCTTCTACTTATAAACACCATTGCTATTGGCTGTGTTTCAATTGCTTTCTTACAGGATAATGTAACACTATTGACTAGAAAGACAGAAATGTGCAAACAAATTAACTTTAACATTATATCAGTACTGTTGTATAAAACAGTAACATAATAAACTATTACAGAAAAAAAAGAGTACATATAAACTTCACACATTTATTAACTGGTACCTGGGACAAGACGCTCGCCACAGATCGGAAGGTCGTGGGTTCGCTTCCTGGCAGAGACGGACTTTTTTTTTAAATGACCATGGCTCCTGGGTCGACCCAGCCTTGAGTGGGTACCGGGTGCAGTCCCGGGAAGTAAAGGTGGCCGGCATCATGCTGACCACATCCCCCATCTTGTGCCGATTGGTCTATAAAAATATCGGTCTAGCCCTATATGCCCTATAGGCCTAAAGGCGTGGAAAAGGGTCCTTTACTTTTGTTTTTACCTGGGACTAGAATCATACATTAATTATGTCACAGGGTACAAAAAGGAAATTTGTCACTTTTCCCTTTTCTTACCATCAGATTGGTTTCACTTATCCAGATCTGGGTCATTCAACTAAGGGACCAAAATTCTAAAAATGAGGATCATCACAGGCCAGAGTCCCAACATAGAAATAGCATAAACACAATGTACAACTGGCAAGCAATCTGTGGACCACTTGCAAGGCCTCTGTGATCAGACTTGACCCCGGGCAGCCAGCTAAAAAGCACAGATCTAGACAATCCAAATTTTAAAAGCCTACAATTTGCCCTCACACTATGCGCACATCACTGAATCAATCAATCAATCAAGTGCTGCCTCCACAGTTAGGGCTGCCTGCAATGAATCTTGTACAAGCTTTGCCCACAGTTTCGCTCATACACTTTCTCAGGTTGCCATCTGTTCACTTTTGGATGTTGTGCTCCCACGTGTATTACTGTCTACCATTTAATCTCATGCCGGTGACTTTTCTATCCACCACGGACTTTAATAGTGTTATGTGGTTACAAATATGTCACTAGTATCTCTCCTGTTTTGTTCTTTGTGAAGAGAAAACACAGAGTGACAAGATTTTTTTTCGTTTATAAACCAGTCATCTCCTTGTGAGATGCAATTTCTCGTTATTTGAAGCCCTGCTCTGGCTCTTGCCAGGGGCCGCAATATAGCCTGACTATAGATATGGTCTAATGGCTGAAAGCGGTTTCTGGGACCTCTCCACGGTGATCCTCATCCACATGGTGGCACTCTGTGTCATCGGGTGTTTATCGCTTGTGTGATGACCTAGCAGGGTAAAAATCTACTACTACTACTACTCTCCTTTTTTTTAAATACTTCTTTCAGTCCCTCTTTTTTTATTCAGGACCTTTTCAAAAGCCGGGAAGGGGGAGGGGCAAATCACTGAATAACTTCAACTGAATCAAGACAATTTACTTTATCTAGTGCAGTCATAAAAGCTTCAACAGAATCTCACCATCTTTAGAGTAGTAAGAATTAATGAGGCGATCTTGCACATCTACTGGTAACTGAGCAATGTTGATGCCTGCTGCATCTGTAAATGCACCACCAAAGCCAATGATGGTCTGCCGTTCCACAGTCCGGTTCACATAATATATAGCTGTAATGAGAAGCGTCAAAAAACAGTTACTTACAAGTAATTCTGGTTAGTTCAGTCAGAACGAAAACAGAAATAAAACGTGAAACTGTAATTTTAACAAAATTCATGCCTTTATCATATAACAAACAGCTTTTTTACTAGGTGACACTTATCTTCCAGCTTAAAATCAAGACAATTTCCGCAGGAACAGAAGGATTTTAAAAAGCATAACACAACCACTATTGTAGAGCTAACTAAATTATCGCAGATTAGGTGACACTGATGCTGAAAAAGACTCATATTAAGAAAATCTGTTAGCAGTATAATTACAAAATCTGTCTCTGAAAATCAGAGTGCATCTGCCTGAGAGGCAGGGAACCAACAGCCACTGAAGAAATAGCAGGAAAGATCTAAGATAAGAAAGCTTAGCACATACAAAAAAGGAAAGCTTAGCAGATAGAAGATAGGAAAACGTACAGGTTAGAACAACAGAAAAATATAAATAATAAATGACAATTTGCAAATAATATTTAAAAACCAACCTGTTGAAATCCAAGGGTAGCACTGAGCAGGAATGGCACACAGATGTGAATACAATGAAAGTGTAACAAGATCAAGATGCATAAACATTCTTCAAAATGTGCAGCAGACTAAGCATGGTAGATGACGATGGTTAACTAAATGCCTAACTAGCAATGAGACTGGAATAGTGAAACTGTTGGACTACTGAAGTACAAAACATGATACCTTTAAATGATGAAGGGAGCCACACAGATGGAAATAAGGAGAGCCACACAAATGGAGATGAGGGAAACTACACCGACACAGATTAGAGGAACTACACAAACACAGATTAGAGGAACTACACAGACACAGATTAGAGGAACTACACAGATGGAGATAAGGGGAGCTACACAGATGGAGATGAGGGAAACTACACAGATGGAGATGAGGGGAACTACACAGATGGAGATAAGGGGAACTACACAGACACAGATTAGAGGAACTATGCAGATGGAGATAAGCAGAGTCATACATATGGAGATGAGGGAAACTACACAGATGGAGATGAGGGGTACTACACAGATGGAGATAAGGGGAACTACACAGACACAGATTAGAGGGACTACACAGGTGGAGATAAGGGGAGCCACACAGATGGAGATAAGGGGAACTACACAGATGGAGATGAGGGGAACTACACAGATGGAGATAAGGGGAACTACACAGATGGAGATAAGGGGAACTACACAGACACAGATTAGAGGAACTACACAGGTGGAGATAAGGGTAGCCACACAGACGGAGATAAGGGTAACTACACAGATGGAGATGAGGGGAACTACACAGATGGAGATAAGGGGAACTACACAGACACAGATTAGAGGAACTATACAGATGGAGATAAACAGAGCCACACATATGGAGATAAAGGGAACTACACAGATGGAGATGAGGGGAACTACACAGATGGAGATAAGGGGAACTACACAGACACATATTAGAGGAACTACACAGATGGAGATAAGGGGAGCCACACAGATAGAGATGAGGGGAACTACACAAACAGAGATTAGGTTAACTATACAGATGGAGATGAGGGAATCTATACAGATGAATATGAGGGGAACTACAAATATGGAGATGAGGGGAACTACACAGAGATTAGGTTGACTATACAGATGGAGATGAGGGAAACTATACAGATGAATATGAGGGGAACTACACACATGGAGATGAGGGGAACTACACAGACAGAGATGAGAGGAACTACGCAGATGGAGATGAGGGGAACTACACAGACAGAGATCAGGTTAACTACACAGACAGAGATGAGGGGAACTACACAGACGGAGATGAGGGGAGCCACACAGATGGAAATGAGGGGAGCTACACTGACAGAGATTAGGTTAACTACACAGACAGAGATGAGGGGAACTACACAGATGGAGATGAGGGGAGCCACACAGATGGAGATGAGGGGAACTACACAGACAGAGATAAGGTTAACTATACAGACAGATATGAGGGTAACTAAATAGATGGAGATGACAATTTTATTTCAAGTGACAGTGCTGAAAGTCAATGGAGCGTGAGTATTAGTTGGTCTTTTATTTGTTTTTAACGTTGTCTAGTATAAATATGTTCACTGTCTGTGTCTTAGTAGTGAGATGGAGCATTTTTAACATCTTTACATGGGCTTCTCTGTTGATCTTGTCTACAAATGTTACCTGAAAATATTCTGGGAAAACAAAGTGATCAGGATGATAAACACTACCTCCTGTCGACTGATTAACAAAAAAAAAATAATGATCTGAAGAATAGAAGCCAGTTGCTCTCAAAGTCACCATGCAGTTTGCAGACTATGATTTTTTTTAAACTCCATGAATTAAAGCACAAATTGAATGCATGTGCCACTTTACACAAGGAAAACAGTTGATATCTCACCAAAGACATTTTTTGGGTTAACTCTTTAGATACTAAGGAATACATCACAGGCTGACTTATAACTAATTTAAGTCTAATCTAGTATCAAAACAGTTAACTAACTCCAATCAATCAAAAAGTATGTCCTTTACAGAACATTGTTCTCTCTTCACAACATGGCTAAAAGTCTCTCTCTCTCTCTCTCTCTCCCCCTCCCTAGCTAATTCTCATGCCCTTTGTGTTTTCACAGCCAGTGCATCTTTAATGTCCTTGTCCATCTCAGAAATATAGGATCAGATGGAAAAGATATCAGAATTATTAGTAACCTATACCGGGAAAAAATAGCAACCGTAGGATACAAAAGCACCACCTCACCACAGATAAAGATAAAAAGAGGAGGATGTCAAGGATGTGTGTTATCCCCAAGCCTTTACAACTTATATACAGAAGACTTTTTTAAACAAGTTGACGAATTGCAATGGTTGAATCTTAAGGGAAGAACAATAAAGAATCTGAGATACATGGATGACACAGTGCTAATAGCAGAAAGCGAGCAGAGGTTACAAGAACTAGTTGATCAAGCCAATAGGTGGTGTACAGGGTATGGTTTAGACATTAACATTAAAAAAACAAAAACTAGGGTAATTAACCATGGAAAAGAGCGGTAAACATCATGGTAAACAGAGAGCCGTGAGAACAGGTAACAAGTTTTTCCTGTCTAGGATATGAAGAAACAGATGATGGAAGAAGCGAAATAGAAATCAAAAGAGAATAGGAACAGCTAAAGCTGTCTTCAATAAGATGGGCAAGTTACTGACAGCTACAGAGATAAACACATGCTAAAAATGAGAATTGTCAAATGTCATGTACACTCAGTCCTGCTATAAAGTGCAGAAGCTTGAGCAATGAACAAGCAACTAAAATATCTAATTGAGTCACTGGAGATGTGGGTATACAGAAGAAAAGGTCATATTTCATGGAAACAAAAACAGTCCAATACAGCGGTTCTGGAAAGGCTACAAATGAAAAGAAAATTACTGAAATACAAATTTAAAAAAAAAACACACACACAAAAGACAACTGAAAGACTCTAGCCACATTAAAAGACATAACACACTTCTGAAAACCATATTGGAGGGAAAGGTTAAAGGCAAGAGAGCTAGAGGTGGACAACAATACAAGTGAGAGGACAATATCAAGAGACAGAGGAGCAGCAGTCTGAGAGAGTGTACAACCAGGAAAAGGAAAAGAGCGGACTGGAGATCCATTGCAGCCAACCTTAATTGTGGAGACGGAAACTTTTTGATTGATCCACCTTTGCGTAGTTCAGTCTTTGCCTTGTTTTCTGGAAATGTAACTGTCTTACGTTTAACTTAAAAAGAATATCCACAAGTGACCGTACTTACCATCAGTTGTTGTGTTACTGCTGGCCTGGGACACTTTTGTATTAAACCGCTGGCCATCCTTAGTGGATGTAATTACAACAAACTGCCCTTTAGGAAGTCTGTCTGCAGATGGCACAGTATCACAGTATGTGCTGTTACAAACACATATAACATGTCCATCGCTAACAGTGACAGCAGCACATGGTGCAGCTATGAAAAAGAGAAATAAAGTATTAGCTTACATGTATTTGTACAAAAAATCATTAATATCCTTAAAGTCCACATAGTTCCAACCATTTCTAACACAGCGGATTTACCATGCTATTATGTCACATTGTCCAGAATCTTCTCTCTAGGACTTCCCCCCTCCCCCTTTCTCTTCCTCTCTAACTGTATCACTGCCATGACAAGATATCAACAACAACAAAAAGTAAAACTAGTCAAACTGGGGGTGAAAAAAGAAGGAGAAGAAATCCGGCTTTCCTTCGAATAACGGCCCCAAATTATCGAGGCCGAAAATATACCTTAACAGGGCCTGAGTCACATGTCAATTGCGGACTTCCGGTGACTTAAATTGCGCACTTCCGGCGACTTCCACCACTGCCGAGAGTATCTCCCGCGCCGCTACGCGCGGCGTGGATTGGAGCTAAACTAGATTGCTGAGACTCACGAGCAGCAGCTACTGCATTTCCTGCAGCTTCCTTCATTTCATTTGCTTGTGAGTCCCAGCCATCTAGTTGACCCACAATCCACACCACGCGTTGCAGCGTAGGAGATACTTTCGGCAGTGGCGTTAGTCCCCAGAAGTCCGCTATTCGGCGGTAGCGGTATAGTCTCTGGAAGTCCGCAATTGACATGTGACTGAGGCCCTGTTAGGGTATTTTTTTCAGCCTCGATAATTTGGTACCATTATTCAGAGGATAGCCAGAAATTCCATCTCCCCCCCCCCCCCCCCCTTACTAAATAAACCCATGACAATGCTACAAATACATGCCAACCTGGATATGAACAAACATCATACCCGGTGAAGCATTTATAGAACTTTGACAAATCACACGCTGCATGGATTGGGGCGAAAATAAATTGCTCGGACTCACAAGCAGCAGCTACCACTTCTCCTGCAGCTTCCTTTATTTCATTTGCTCGTGAGTCCTAGCCATCTAGTTTAGCCCCAATCCACTAGCTCACTGGCGTGGGGGACACTCTCGGCGGTGGCGGAAGTTGCCAGAAGTTCCCAATTTGGTGGTGGCGTTATAGTCCTCGGAAGTGCGCAATTGACACGTGACTGAGGCCCTGTTAGGGCTTATTTTCTGCCTCGATAAATTATAACCGTTATTCGGAGGATAGCCTATAAATTTAATATATTCTTTTTATTTTTAATCTTGGCTATCCTCCGAATAACGGGCACAAAAGATGGCGGCCGCAAAAACATCCTTACAGAGCCTCAGTCACGTGTCAATTGGGGTCACGAGCACATCCAGGCAAAACTAGGATTATGTGTCATTTGCGCACTTGCGGCGACTTAATTTGCAGTTTTCGGGCAACTACTGCCACTGCCAAGAGTCCCCCACGCCGCGTTGATTGGGGCTAAACTAGATGGCTAGGACTCACGAGCAAAGATGCAGAAGCTGCTGCTCGTAAATCCTAGCCATCTAGTTTAGCCCTGATCCACGCCACGTGAACGATGTGAGGGACTCTTGGCGGTGGCGGTAGCCGCCGGAAAACCGCTAATTAAGCCACCGGAAGTGCGCAATTGAGACATGACTGAGAATCTGTTTTTACGGCCGCCATCTTTTGTGCCCGTTATTCGGAAGATAGCCTAAATCCTTATTTTTTAACTATAAAATTATGGGCTCTTCTCCGAACTTCTACCCCCGCAGTATTGCAGCCTGAAATATCCGTTTGGGGCGCAGTCCAATTAAAAATATGCCGGCTCCGTATAACGAAACAAATGCTCTACCAGGGTCTCAGCGATATGTTACTTGCGGACCTGTTTCTTATTGTTTCTGATTACCTGACAATTCTAAGAGACGCACGCAACACTGCAGACGATAGTAGCAGACGATAATAGTAGCCACCGTTGACACTTTCCATTGTCGAACTTTCTGCTGACGAACAAATCGCGGCAAATCTAGGATGGGCTCGGAAAAACGAAACAAATGCTCTAATAGGGTCTCAGCGATATGTTACTTGCGGACCTGTTTCTGTGACTATGCCTCACCGCCGAGCATATCCCCCTCGCCGCTACGCGCAGTGCGGATAGGGGCTTAACTAGATGGCTGGGACTCACAAGCGGCAGCTACTGCATCTCCTGCAACTTCCTCCAATTACTTTGCTCGTGAGTCCCAGGCACCTAGTTTAGCCCCCCATCCGTGCCGCTACGGGGAATGCACTTGGCGGTGAGTTTAATCGCGTTATGCGCAAGCTGACAAGTCTGACATCTACCGCTGCTTAATCCTCAATCGGAAGAACAGTATTGCTAATTTGCATGGGAGCGCGTGGTCTACCCGCAATATCGCTTTCATCATATGTAATGTCTCAAAATTGTCAACAGTCGCTTTTATCGTCTGCTAGTATCGTCTGCAGAAAACGCTCCACATTGTCACCGGTCGCTTTTATCATCTGCTACTATCGTCTGCAATGTTGCGTCTTGTGACATTGTAAGGTATTCCTAGTTTTGCTGCAATTTGTTCCTCGGCGGGAACTCTGACAAGTCCGTATTTTTAATTGGACTGTGCCCCGATATTTCAGGCCGCAATACTGCGGGGGTAGAAGTTCGGAGGAGAGCCAAATTATGTTATGTTTTAAATTTCATACATAAAGATTGATAAAGTAATATTCTAAACAATCAACAGATAAGAATGCTCACGATTCTATTCCCCTTTTTACATAAGTCGTGATCTCACTTTAAGAGAATCAAGTCAGCACTTAACGCTATTATCTTATCAGTCAAATCAGATATTTCACTTCTGCAACTTTTGCAGTTCCTGTCATTAAAATTATATTTAGTAGTAATAATTAAGACGGCGAAAAAACATGTTCCTAACAATATTCAGATATTTTATCCAAATTATATAATTAATGTTAATAAGCCCCTGAGACTACTTACCAGTGACAACTCGAGATAAATGAAACAAGAGGTATGTTAGCAGACTCAAAACAGAACTGAAACTTGCCGCCGCCATTGTTTTGTCACGTGATGTCAATATGTCACATGACTTGTAGGCCTAAGCTATAGATAAAGCTATGGAACAATCTTAATTAAAATCACGATCTTTCGATTTTTATGCAAACTGATTTCAAGTTAGTTAATCTTTATTGTATGCAGCAAGTTCTATTTTATGGTCGTGTGCCTCCATGCTGGCGAATCCAATGGTGTCTCTCCACTGATGATTGAATGAATCACTGTGCTTAGCACATTCCCACACGTTCTCCGTCCCCTTCCACAGTAGCCAACGAAGAGTCTGTATGTTAACAGTGCCAGTCGAAACCTGATTAGAAAAAAAAAGCCTTTTTTGGCCCTTAGTGTTAAACATCTCTCAGAACTTTAAGAGAATGTCTGAAGATCGCGGGTTGGTTTCAAGACTGACAGTACAAATTTAACGGGGTCGTCCCCGAAGCTACGGAGTTCGTGCTGTGTGAGACGCTCTTGGAGGGCAGCTAGCTGTTCTGTAGAGAGAGACTGAGCCACATGGAATAAAATCCGTGCGATAAAGTCGATCCTCTCACCTGTAGCTTTACATATTCCTTAACCAGTCGCTAGGCCGATCAGACGTGGTTTCCTGAGAATGTGCAAACATCGCATGACTAATACCTTCTCCAGATGACCCTACTCACCACAAAAATTGTTTACCAGAGGTGTCAGTGCGGCGACCGTCACCTGTTGGACTGTAACTGAAAAGAATAAAGTATTGTGAGCCATCTCTCTCTCTCTCTCTCTCTCTCTCTCTCTCTCTCTCTCTCTCTCTCTCTCTCTCTCTCTCTCTCTCTCTCTCTCTCTCTCTCAATTTCACTCTCTCTTTCTCTCTGGCTCTGTCTGTCTGCCCCCCCCCCCCCCACCATGTCTTCTTTTACACAGCCAAAAAGGAACAGGGGAGAGAGATACCGGAGCCAACTATTTCCTTATACGGAAAAGTTAGACAAAAAACAAACACTTTGTCCCCAAAGACAAATTACAATTTATATGTGATTTGGAATTTTTTTTAAAGGGGGGGGGGGGGGGGGGAGAAAGACAAATCAAGCAGTGGGGTGATAAGTTAATTATAATTTAATTCTTTTACTTCCATAAGTACACAATACATTTCAAAAATAGAGGGATACAAGTGATGAAGCAGACATATTTCAGTGTTGGATTCGAGGAATGAAACAGCACCCACAACAATTTTGAAGCAACCCTTAGTCAGGGATGACAACCGTTTCTGCGTATGAAGTCTGAGTAGTGAGCCTGTTCGGAAGAATAGATTCCATTTTCTCACATTGAAAACTATGAAGCCGAACGATTGTGGGAGTTCTAAAGTTATTGATAACATCGCCGGCAGCTGCAACTAGTGTCTGTTCAGGTTCTTTCATTATAGTTGACCTAAACATAAGAAACACCGGAATCCGCGGAAAAAGTAAAAGAAAAAAAAAGTAAAGGACCCTTTTCCACTGGCTTAAATAGTATAGGGCATATAGGGCTAGACCTATATTTTATATTTTATAGGCCAATCGGCACAAGATGGGTGATGTGGTCAGCATCACGCCGGTCGCCTTTACTTTCCGGGACTGCACCCGGTACCCACTCAAGGTTGGGTCGACCTAGGAGCCAAGGTCAGTTCTGACAAAAATTCGGGTCCGCCGGGAGCGAACCCACGACCTTCCGATCCGCGGCGAGCGTTTAACCGATCCGCACTTTGACTCCCTTGACTTCCCGGGAAAGTCCAATATTACTGGGGTGTTACAGTTTGAAATGCGCTCAATGGTACAGAGTACCTGAACCATTTTCTAATGCGTACATCGTGGTACTCAAACATGACCGTGGCGTCCAGGTCAACCCAGTCTTAACTGGGTACCAGAGTAGTCCTAGGAAATACAAGCGGCCGGTGTGACACTGAACACATTACCCACCACTGGTACTTCAAAATATTGGCATAGCCTTAATGCGCCTCTAGCGTCTATAAGAACGCCCCCCCCCCCTCCCCCAACTGCCTACCTTTGTGCTACTAGTAGTA